GGAGGCCATTGAATAGATGGGGAGGGGGGGCTTTAAAGTTTAAAGTCTGTGTATGTGCGTCTCTGTGTGTAGGCAGGCTAATTATATTCTGCACAGCCAAGGATGACCCAGCATGGCCGAACTTAACTAACAGGGCAGGACGGAGGAGGAGGAGGAGGAGGGAGAAGAAGAAGGATATTGATATTGGGTGCAGTCATGCAGCTAAAGAAATTAAAACTGACCATGTGTAGAATTTTATAGATGGTTTCTGGAATGTGTCTTCTCAGATGTTAAGCTTTTTTATGTGAAACAAGCGAGAATTGATGATCTAATTTAATGAGAATTGTAGATATTTTTATACATTCTACATTGCATGAGGGTGAATTTTTTGCTGTTATAAGAGGAGATAATTACATTTGTTATGTAGTTTTTTATCTTGTGACAGGAGACCTGACAAGTGGGACTGAACAACCAGAACTCAATATATATATATAAAAATATTTGTCCTTATATATTTAAGAGATAAGGATTACTGCAGCAAAGTCAGCCACCTGGTCAGATGTTGCTCTCATCAGGGTCACAGTGACTTGAAGTCAACATTTCTGACAGGAAACCACCACGTTTTTGTTTTTTTTGTGACTGATGACCGACTGCCGCCTGGCAGATGTGGACATTGAGTGTGCATTCAAACCCACAAAAAGTAAAAAGCTTTACGCTCCACGGCATCAAAAGTGTGAGAATGTCTCACTCAACATGTCTTCTTCACCAAAATGATGCATCTGTCTTGACCGCCAAAATACAACCCCTTTGTACTCTCTCCCATTGTATCTAAATAAGGGTATTCAAATGTGGATGTGGTCAAAAGCCACAACATCTGTCTTTCCTGTGGACATATGTAAAACACTCCACCTATTGTCGGTTTGGGAGGGTTCTCGCTTAAGTTCCCCTCCAAATTGATTCGGCCAATTAAAAGTGGTGGTGGGGGGGGGGGGGGGGGGCGAAAAGACCTTCCACCAGCGTCAAACCTCTGTCCGACCCCCAGCCGGGCCCCAACAACCACTCAGCAGGCCTGAGGCATCGCTACGGCCCCTCGGGGGCCAACGGCGACCGCGCGCTCATCTGGATTTCCGATGGTTGGACCGGGAGACGCTCCTGTTAATTGCGGCCGGCGAGAGTCATCAATGTGACGTCGTCCTCCGAAGGCGGAGAGCGCCGAAGTGGGTTTCCCTCCAGAAAAAGCAGCCCCGGGCCCGTACCATTCACAGGCCCCGGTTTTGCAAGTAAATGGGAGCAGGCAGTCATGACAACCTCGACCCACACACTTCCAGGCACTAATGAGGGGATTCAGCAACTATAAAGGAAAGAGACACATGCGTGCCTCAAGCAAAGGCCGCGGCGCTGAGTGCAGATGCTTTTGTAGTCTAAATTTACCCTCAAACCACACGTACCAAAGGAAACTTCCTGTGCATTCTGCGGCGGCTGCAATGTGTTTTCATTTGCCGTTTCCCCCCCCCTCTCAGCCCCGCCGCCTGTAATAAAGGGCCGACTGTCGAATCCTCTTGAGTTAGCGCTGGAAACCTCGCGTGAGGAGCCCCTTAAAAAGAGTCCGGCCTGTTTGCGCTCCAGCTAAACTATTCTCCCGTGTGCTTTTGAACAGAGAGGAATGTGGGAATCAATGGCGAGGACATCAAGGTTGGCCTTTCCCTGTGAGGTCACTTCGATGGCTCGATCAGTAACTGCTTACTGACGGACTGGATCCAACCTCTTTGTCAAGGTAATTATTATACATAAATGATCTTTTTAGACCGTAGTGAGGGTTACCGCCATCTCGAGCCCTCTGTTGTCTTAGTCAGTAATTCAAGGAGCCTTTCTAACCAGTTTTAGGGTTGAATCAAAGTAATTCTCCACAGTGGTGAAAAAATACATGTTTAGTTAAATGTAAAAAATACACATTTAAAACAATGCACACATACTACCTGGGAAGTGTCAAAAACATCGAAAATTCCAAAAAGCGATTTCATTCATTTGGACACAATAGAGACAGTCCGGAGACACCTGCAGTCTCTTACCTCCATTTAGCTAATTACAAGTCCCCAGAGGACCCATCTGTGACCTCTGACCCCGGATGCTATAATTAGGCCGTATTCAGGCTGCTAAATGCCAAAAGTGGATCGCTAATGTGTGTCTTGCTATAAATAAAACAAAGAAAAGAGAAATCTGTCTCACAAAGACACAAACACAGGCGACAATGATTAGCGAGATGAAACACATACAACAAACTCAAACAACATGTGTGCGATGTAGGAGGGCGAGAGAGGAAGAGAGAACGGGGGGAGAGGAGTGTGAGGGAGGAAACTGAGATGTGATTCATGGCGGTGAAAAGAATTTGTTTCAATCCGACAAAATCGCGAGATAATTCATCTGAATCCCTCCCGGGCTTTAACACACAGACACACAAACACACAAACACAGCCACACGAACCGAGATGAGAGGCACAAAGAGACATTCACCGACACACAAACAAACACGTACACAATCAGGACCCTGAGAAAGTGCAATGAGAGAGCAGGTGTCACTTTTCACATGCAGCTCTCTGACCAGAGTCCCTCACCTGTACAGGGAGGGAGGTGGGAACCCCCCCCTGAGGAAAACGACCTCTTCCTCACTTAATATGACATTATTTAATAGGAAAATTAGATAATGTATTAACTGTAAAAGCAGTTTTTTTTACTGCATGTGTTCAGAAACAATGCAGGTGCAAGTTGATGACTAAACACACTCGTCCGTTAAGTGACCATTAAAATATGTGACTTTGGCATTTGGATTATTAGGTTTCGCTCTTTTAACCCCAAAATACTTTCAAATACAACAGCGTACGTAACCCTGATTCCACAGCTGCTTACGTTACAATCAAACAAAGGAAAAACACAAGACACGGCACAATCCCGCGGGGGGGCGGAGGCCCATTTTCGGCCGATTGTCAGAGTATCCCGACATGGTCTTAGATCTCATTACCAGCAGATATATGACTCTGTGCAGGAAAACAAACAGCAGCCATGTCGGTTCAGGCGGATTAGCACCGAGGTGCCACGGGAAGCTGCCGAGGAGTCTGGGAACGGGGACACGTCAGCACAACCCTTTCCGAACTGCAGACCCTGTTCAGGGGAGGAAATCCTGCAAGAATTTGATTTATTGAAATTATTCCTACAAGTTTGCAAAAAGTGTCTATCTGCAGAATCCTGGAGGCCTACAACTGGTCCAGCTTTACGCTTCATAAAGACTCTGCGTCGGACACAGCGAGAAAAAAGGTGCACGCAATGTCACGGCCCTGTAAATGCAGGCGACGCCACACTGTCACCGGACCCCCCCGCCCCACACACGCACACATAGATAACAGGCGCACTGCGTACCAGGCAAATAGACGCAGCACTAACGGGTGCACGCGAGCTCTCGTACGCGTACGCCGTCGCTGTTTGAAGACGCGGCCGTTGGCGAGCCGGTGAGAACGCGGCGGGTCAAAGGATGAGGACGAGCCCACGTTGGGATGAAAGTTGGTCCTGGCTGGATGAGGCTGTAGTTCAGGTCACACCGAGGTCACAGGTCACTTTCAATGCTCACGTGTATGGATGCATGCACGCTGGTGTGCGTGACAAAGTATGAAGGCTCCGTGCACGCGTGGATGCTAAGACAAGTTTAATATTACTTAGACCCCCCCCACTCTCTCCCTCCCCCGTCTCCCGTCGCTGTGCACTTTGAACTCTGCTGCTTTGAAATGCCCCGCAGAAAACAAAGCTCCGTCCCGCCGCAGACAATAAAGCAGCTGGATTTCTGCACATGTGCCATTGTGTCGGTCTGAGGCCTTGTCATAACTCCATCGGAGGGGCCTAGACGTTCACCACACACACGCACACACACACACACACGCACACACACATGCAACAACACATGCACGGAAAGTCACCGCCTCGGGCGGAGATGGATGGCAGTGGTACCACAAAAGAATATTTGATTTGGTTATAAATACCACGACATGAAAGGAAAGCCCAGCGGGGCAAAAGGCAGAGGGCACGACCACCGCGGGGGGCAAAACCTTCATCATCATCATCATGGTACACGCTGCGTCTGAAGAGCAGGGTAGCGTCGCTGAGCTGTGAGTGCTTTCTGCCTCTTTGATTTGATTAGATTTAATCTCACAAGGGTGATATTTTCGGAACGTAAAATGGATAAAATGCTTCATTAAGTTCTGTGAATCAAGAAAAAAAAAAATAAAGCTATTGATTGTAGATCCGACGCGGATTACAGCGAACGGCGTTTTCTAAGTCTGATGAGCGTGACGGGACGTGAAAGCAAACCAGACGTCTGAGCATCATGAAAGCGTTTGACTCAGAAATGTGTTTAGCTCGTTGTGGTTCCGCTCTGATGTGTGAGCTTCACGGCAATAAGGGATGAAAGAGCAGCCGGTTCCTTTGAGTCCACCTTGAACATTAGAGTTTTTGACATCGTGCAGCAGTTGTGATGTGGAAGCCTGGAGTGAGCGTGACAATTTAACAGTAAAGTACCAAATATCTTGTGTTCAGTCATTCAAAAAAACCAAAAAAAAGAAAAATACCAGGCACAAATTATCATTCAAGAAAATTCCATTTTTCTTAAAAAATAAATAAAAATAATGACAGTAATAATTTAAACCACACACAGAAAATATTCATGAAGGCGTTGTCAAATTCTTAAAAATCAACAAATCATAAAACTGTTCAAAACAAATAAACAACAATTAAATACAAACCCAACTAATGAAGCAACCCGACGTTTCTGTTAATTCACTCAGCATGTCAGTTAATTAGTATTTCTACGCGGACCTGCGCAACACAATAGCGAATTGAAGCTTGCTTTTGCAGACTGTTGCTTGCTCTTCAGGTCAGACCCCGCCCCCCCCCCCTCCTCCTCCCCCTCCCCCTGTGAGTGGTTTAAAGTTTCGCTGCTCGGGCTCTGATTGGTCGCCGGACTTTCCCAGAGGAGGAATAACTCGCAGGTCTGCGCGTCTCTGAGCCCAGAGGAGCAGACAGGGCGAGAGGAACCATGGAGCTCGTCTCACACGGGCCCGTTTGATTTTAAAGAGGGATTCTAGAACTATCGGGGAACTTTTCTTTTTTCCCAACCGCTCCCCCTTTATTTTACTTTATTCCTTTTTTTTTTTTAAATTCTTCTAGTCACGTCGCGTCATCCGCCGCTAACGATGCGTCGTTTCGGGGTTTGGATTAACGCACTCTGGATTCTGCTTTTCGCCCTTTTCCGCTCCGCTTCTTCGAGCTACTCCGAGGACCAGTGCAGCTGGAGAGGCAGGCAAGTGTCTTTGCGAGGTTCCGCGGCTTCTCCTCTCGGTCGGGCCGACAGCGGTTCGGACGCTGCAGGTGTCCGAGGAGGCGAACGGACGCGAAGACAAGTTGTGATAGACTGTCTGCAGGACGGGGAGGGGGGGGGGGGGGGGCATTCTGATACCTGATGCATGCATGTTGGGGAATAGGAGGTTGAATTGACGATGCATTGTTAAAACTTTTGGGGGGAGCCCAACAGGCTTTCTATTTGAACCGGCTGCCTCCGTCCTGCAGGTGGTTCTGCTGGCGGTGCTGAAGAACAGCGTGTAAACCCCTCGTTCTGTTATCCTCCTCACAGCGGCCTGTCCCAGCAGCAGGGCAGCGTGGAGCAGATCTCCCTCCACTGCTCCGAGGGCACCCTGGACTGGCTGTATCCCAAAGGGGCCCTGCGCCTCACCCTGTCCCCCCGCCTGCCCTCCGTGGCGGTGGGGCCCGGCGGCAGCAGCTCGGGCCTCATCACCGCCTGCGTCAAGCCCGCGGAGCAGTTCCGCGGAGCCCAGCTGTACCTGGAGCAAGACGGGGTGCTGGAGCTCCTGGTGGGGGACCGCCTGGACTCGTCCTCGCCGCCGAGGGTCCGCTGCTTCAGCCGCCTGCCCGGAGAAAAGGTGGCCCTCTTCCTGCAGGCCACGCCGCACCAGGACATCAGCCGGAGGATCGCCTCCTTCCGGTACGAGCTGAGGGGGGACTGGACGGCCCGCCTGTCGCTGGACTCCAACCCCATCAGCAGTGAAGGTGAGTCAGCGGAGGTCACATCAGGAGCCGACACCCTCAAACGAGTGTTTGGGCTCCGACGGGTCATTCCTGGTTAATCAATTCGGGAACAGAGGAAGTACAGAAGAACTTTTGGTCTCATCTCCTGACAGTAGAAACCGGTTGAAGTTTCGGGGATGCCAGGTCCAACCAGTGATAATCTCTCCCTGTAGGTGACTCCGGGTTCGTTGGCGGTCTCTGTGGGCCGCGTAGGGGTGCAGGGGATTGAGGAAGTGGGCAAACGTTCCCCAGAGGCGCGCTGGGTTGCAGTAGGATTCGGGGGAGGAGGGGCACAAAAGCACAGCATGTGGGCCCCCCCCAGAGCCCAGAGCCCTTTGAATGGCTGCTGCATGAGTATTCTGGGATTACTGCCGTCGCCTAGGCGACAGCGAGGCCTCTGCCCAGCTGAGATGCTCCAGTCTTTTGTTGAGCTGCTTCTCTGTAGGGAGGCTTGTCTGTAGGAGTATGCTGCCCCCCCCCCCCCCCCCACACACACACAGTGATTAGGCTTGGAAGGGGCTTTGCTGTGGGCCAGAGAGGAAGGAATCTCATTTATCAAGTGGTTTTCACTAAGGACGAGAATGTGTGTTAGGGGGGGAGGAGGGGGCTCCAGAGACCCACAAGGAAAACTTTTTTTTTTCTTTACCCACAACTTGGTGCCTGCAGACAGACGGCGCTTTGCTTTGGATTTTCTTTCTTTTTCTTTGTTTTTTGTGGCCACTCCGGATCCTGTTACGACTCTCGGCGAGGTGCGCAGCATTTTTTTCTCTCCTTTCTTCAGTTTTCAATAAAAGTATTTTGTGGGTGAATCTGCTTCTTAAAAAAAAAAAATCTTTGAAGTCCCCCCCCTCCTCCTCTTCCTCCTCTTCCTCCTCCTTGGCTCCCGTCTAGCAGGCTTTGATGAGGTGTGACTGCAGACACCCCTGAAAGGCTTTAAGTGGGGCCTTTAAATCTTTCCGGGTTGAGGGGCCTCGCACCTTTAAAGCTCCTCTTCTGCCAACTGTAAAAGTAGCAGCTGTCTGTCGGACCGTAGCGGTTGGTCCCTGCTCTTCGTGGCTCGTCTTTGCGCGGCTTTTAGCTCCGGGTTCCTGTGCACGTGGCGTAGAAGCACAGCAGAGTGTACGTATGAGGTCACTGACTCTCCCTCCTTCCTCCCCAGAAGCTTGCAGACCTTGCAACAACACGGAGATTCTCATGGCCGTTTGCACCAGTGACTTTGGTAAGTTACCCGACGCAACAAGTTGCTTCCCCCCCCCACAAAAGGTCCCGACAGCGAAGCCTTAGAAAGTAACCATCTCTTTAAGGATTTACTAATGTGTCAAATCAGTTAGCAAGCAAAGCACCGCAGAGTTCTCTCCTCTAAAGGCGCGGAGGTTAAGGGTGAAACAGCAGCTCTCTGCAAACCCCCCCAACAACACGCGCACAAACCCCCACTGGAGGCACTGTGGTGGACTAATCCCCCCCCCTCCCGAGGGACGGAGCAGTGGACTAATCCGCGGGCCTCTGATTGAGCTGTAATGTCACTAAGCAGAACTTCAGCTGGCAACAAAAGTCCGAAGGATTAGCGAGCAGCCGATGGGCCTTCGGCTGGCTGGGTCCGCCGACCAGCTACAACGTGGCCCACCGACAGCGCGGCGCCTTTTTTAAAGTAAAAGACGTTAACCCGAATGTCCTGTTTTTACACAGTCGTGCGAGGAAACATCCGGTCGGTGGCGGAAGACGACAACCTCAGAGCGGCGGTGATCAAGGTCAGCGCCACCCGGGTCTTTCGGCAGAAGTACGCCCTGTTTCCCGGCAACGGCCGCGTGAGCCGGCGGGGGGAGGTGCGGACTCTGCTGCAGTGCGGCGTCAAACCGGGGCCCGGCAGCTTCCTCTTCACCGGCCGCGTCCACTTCGGCGAGGCCTGGCTGGGCTGCGCTCCCCGCTACAAGGACTTCCAGCGGGCGTACGCCACGGCCAAAGCGGCGCAGCAGATACCCTGCGAACTGCCCGTTGATTGAGTTAAAAAAAAAAGCGAAAAGGAACACGGATCGAGTCGGGGACGCGCTGAAAGCCGGGCCAAACTCAGCCCCCCGGTTCCGCCTTCTGGAAGGAGCCGGTCGGCGTCCGACCGCTGGCCGCCGGTGACTTCCCAGAGGTCTGAGGAGTGAAGGGGACTTTTCCCAACACCGTTTCAGTGCAATATGACCTGTCCTCCCCGGGACAGAGAGAACCTGGAGGAGACGCGGGACGAGGTGCAAAGGAAGATTATAAGCATTTGGCATCGGACCGTTTTTTTACAGAGAAAATCTGCTGAAAAGCTTTCCATCGGGGGTAAATTGAGGCTCGCCATTCATTCAGGCCCATTGAGAGTCATCGCTCTGAAACTCAGGGAAATTCATTGAAAGTTCTATAGAAAGCTTTCTGCCTCTGTGTCCCAGCGAGGAAACCATTAAGGCACCTATTTGTTCAGTGGATGTGGGGTCATGGGAAAGTTATATTTTAGCTGGCTTCCCCTCTTCCGGGGTCATTCTCAGTGTTACTGCGTTATTAAAGAGATTATAAAAATGAAAAGTTAAAAAAAATATACATTTGCACTGATAACAGAAAGGGAATGACCCGGAAAGTGTGACGCTGCGAGCACTGGAAACCAAATGAAAGCAACTATATGTAGCATAGCAAGTGATAATTTAATATATGTACAGGTAACGTGAGCACGTACAGTACGGACGCAAAGCGTTCACACCGCAGACGAGTCCCGAGAGCCTTTTCACATGCCGGCCAAGGTGCTGGATTTGTGGAGGCTTGTGTTAACAGTACATTTTAGTAGCCATGCAAAATTTCTGCCAAACTTAATTAATTGGACTGCATTTGATTTTTTTTTTTTTTTAAGATTTATCTGTAAATGTGTTGGAGTGGAGTTGCAGCAGTGTTGCCAAAATGGTTAGAAGTTTCATTGCTTCCAAGTCATTCTCTGCTCAAGTTGTTATTCAACTGTTCACAACCATGTGAAAATACATCAGCTCTATAAAATGGTTCATATTTAACGGGCACTATGTCAACAAGGGGAGCTGTTCATACCAAATGTCTGAGATGCTGAAGTGCTTTGACTTAAATGTGTACGCTGCCATTTATTTGTCATGTAAATTTGTGTTAATAACAAATGAATGTAAATATGTTCATAAGAAATTCTAGAAATCACACTATGGGGGGGGTTGTATTGTGGATTCATTTTGTGCCGGTTTTATTAAAATATTCTGTGAGAAAACCCTGATTCTTCTGGAAGCCTTTCTTGTGTACATTCACTTTGAACTCTTTCTTTGGGCGCTTCGTACATATAAATCAGCCTTTAACCCTCTGCCCACGCACATCACTGCAGTTTAACCCACACGTAGCGTTTGGGTCCAAAGAGGTTCTGGCACGGAAAACCTTTCTCAGACGTAAGTCACTGCAAGTACCCATGAATCAGCTCCGTGAACAAACGGCCTGCCGGGAGAGCGAGAGGCCTCAAAGGAGGACAGATTCAGGGAGTGTTCGGGCGCCGGAGGGCGCCTGCACGGGGGAAGGAGGCAGAACGCACGGTTTGCAATTCTGTTGTCCTCAACGTCCCATTTTCAGGACTCAGGAAGCAATAAATTGCCATTAAAAGGGGAGGGTGGGTGGGTGGGGGGGGGGGCAGAGCCAGCCGGGCCGAGGTGCCGCACAGTTGCTCGCTCTCTTATCCGGGCGGCATGTGAGCGAGGACACAATAAAACCCAACCTCCGTTCCCCTTTAAGACATGTGCCTGCAGCCCGGAGGTTTGCGTCCCACCCCGTCGTGGATTTAATCGACGGCCGCCGTGGGAGATAATACAGAAACGTGTGCGTGATCCTCCTTTGAAAAACCCACCACCTGTTTCCCCTCTTCCCAAGAACGGACACGCGCAGACACTGCGCACACTAAATCTGCTCACAAGAGCAGCTGGGGATGCATTTAAATTTAAAATGGGGAAAGAATAAAAAAAAACGAAATTACAAAAAGGCCGACATGCCTTCCGTGTCTGCTGGGCCATCTCCCCTAGAAACCCTGACACTGCTTTGCCACCGCGCCAGTAGTTTATATGAGTGAACCTCCAGCCTCTCCAGCTATTTACTGCCTCAGTGCTCCTTTAAAACATCCCGGAGCTGGGGGGCCCCCGAGCTGCTCGGCCCTGCAAAAACACACACACACACACACACACACACACACACCCTCCTGCAGCACATCTGAGGTCACTGCTGCAGGCTGATAAGCCAAAACAAAGAGCACTCGATTTATCCCCCAACGACTAATACATCATTTGGACAAAGCTCCACTTCCTGCGTTGTTATCACTTCTTTGTGACCCCAGTTTGAACCCCAGTAATAATGTCAGTGTGGAACAAAATAAACCTTCGCCCCCCCCCCCCACACACACACTTGTTATTCTGCCCAGATGTGTTGTTGAGGTGAGCGATGGCGATGGCGAGGCGGGGAGCGCTTTAAGAAAGGGGAATCAAACGCAGCGGGAGGGCGTGGACTTCCGTCGGCCCCCCGGGGGGAGTTCGAGGGAAGTGGCTGGAGACAAAGCTCCAGAGGTGAGAGCACAGACGGGGGGGGGCAAAGTGCTCCCGGACACTAAAAGTAAAACACCCTCAACGCCCCACATCACAAAGCTGTATAAAGGTCCACGAAGGAGACCTGCAAACAATGGGCGCCAATACTGTCAAACCAGACCATGTGACCTCTCTGCCACTTTGCAACGTGTGTCCTACTGTGTCCATAGTTGATGGCGTTTGCAGAGACGTTGTGGAATTGAGGATGTTCAAATCTCGGAGCACTTCAGGGACTGAAGAGGGTCAAGTTAGCGTGAAGCCGTCGTGTCAAGGGTTCATCCTTCTCCCCAGTTGTTTGAAAATGTCGATCTTTCTTCAGTTTTCAACATCCTGGCATTAAGCCGTCCACATCTGCATCCGTGTCTGATCTCTTTTACCACATGACCTCGTGACATTACAATATTCAGGCACGTCCTTTCTCAAAGCGATGGCAAAAGATGTGTTAATGTTAATTTGTTACTTCTCGATACTCGACTACTGCAAATATATTGTGATGTAATAACAAAGATAAAAGAACGCTTACTTCCTCCCGGTAAGTAGGATGGGATCCACAGCCTTCAGCTATCATGCTCAGGTCATTTCAAAGTAGGATAAAGACTTTACTTTCTGACAAGGCTGATGTTATGGCTGCCTCAAGTTTGTCTTGTCCCAGTTGCTATAGTTACGCTGCTTTAGGCCGCTGTGTCTCCTTCTGTGTGACTTCATTCCCCTTCATGCCCTTAATGCTCGACCACAGCTGACACGCGCTGCTACTGTTCCGTCCTTTCCAGGTTCATTCTTCCTTTTCTTACTCCCAGTTTGCCGGGACTGAGGATGTCGTGCGAGCTGCAGACTGCAAAGGAAGATTTGTGATTCACGTCTTTGCGATGATCAAAATGAACCCGATCGACCGACGGAGCTTCTCACACTCGTCCGTCACCTGGATCTCTGCGCTGCATCTTTCTGCGGCTTCACCATCTAATCTTTCCACCAGCTGCTGTTTTGGATCCAAAGCAGGAGTTGGCACACACACAAGAGGCAAAGCGTCCACGTAAACTATATTAGTAGATAGTGATGAATAAACAGCTGGGAATTTCATCAGGCTTTATTTTACAAATACACAAATAACTTTGCCCAACCAACTGCTGCCCAACATTAGGCCACGTTGTTTTTCCACCTGTGACTCAGTGGCTTTGCTTCCTGCTGCCTCCCCATCAGCTCCCCACCAGCTGGCGACGAGCCTGAAGCCGCCGACCACACTTTGGCATCCCAGCCTCCCCAGCTGACCGCTCCCCCGTTCCCACATCGGCCCCGCGCAGCTGGGAGTGATGATTCCCAAATGGAAACCGTGAACGAGAACACGTCAACTCGCTAAAACGCGGCCCGCGAGTCCGCCGCGACTGCAGCCGGACACCGGGCGTGACGGCAGGGGCCTCTCAGAGGGGGGGGGGGGGGGGGGGTCACGCGAGCCCTTCTGCAACGAGCGCTTCGCCAAACCTACGAGACCCACGTGGCCCCGAGAGCCGAGGGCGCAGCGTCCGCGTGTCGAGAGCAGCGAAAAACAAGTGCGAGAGCCGTGCGAGAGCAAAGCACCGAAGGGAGCGAGGAGCCCCCCTTTGTTCCCTCGAGAGCCTGCAGATGGCTGTAATCCCCCCCCCCCCACCCACAAATAAAATGCGCACTGAAAATCAATCAAGACAGGGTGGACATGGTCTGTGAGTGTGGAGGCGGGCGACACTTTTCTCGGGGAGGGGGTCCCCGCAAAGAAACACAAGTTGGGTCAAACAGGCGCCTTTGGAGCTTTCCCGCCAAAATAAGCATTGTAAGGGAAGAGCGAGGGGACTGAATGGCGACCCCCCCCCCCCCCCTCTCAGAGAAGACCGCTCGCTACCCCTCTGTTTGAGCTGAATGCAGCTGCGTCACTCGCCGCACCCTGGCGGTGACGCCGCCCGCAGACGTGACACCGCGCTCCAATCAGGCCACTCAGAGACACCGACCGCGCCACGCGAGGGGACAGGTGCTCCCCCGAGCCGATGGGCAGGTGTGACTCCCGTGTTGACCAACGGGAGCTGCGCGTGGCCACGTTGGCAGCGGAGGCTGAGGGGATGATGTCACCACCTCTGCAGGTATTTGGAGATGAATTGAAGCACTGGACTAATAAAAAACTAATGGATTAAATCGACCCTGGCGGGAGCATAACGCCTTAGACTTTATGGCAGTGCATCTGATGGCTGCAGAAACAAGTAAGCGAGCTGATTATTTCAGATAAATCATCAAACATTTATGCATTTTCATGCTGTGCTAAAACTCTCCTCTATTCACAAAACCCTCGGTAACACAAGGGTTCATGGATTGTCTGTCTAACTGACGTCAGCCCTCCTGACACTTGACCCCGGGCTGAGAGTCCGCTCGCTGAAAGGAAGCACACCTGTCTTTTCGAGGACTCTCCAGATCCTGCCAATTAACCGCGAGGATTATGGTGTTTTCCAAAATAAAAAAAAAAAGAAAACCCGTCCGACCGTCTACGCACAAAGCGGCGAAACCGGGATCAGGTCAGCTCTTCTCTTCCTACCTGGAACCACCTCTGTGCTGCGCCCATCTAATCCTGCAGAGCCCCCCCCCTCTTCCCAACTCATTCATTTTCCTTGTTGTCGTGCTCTTCCAGTCGTCTTGGGTTACGTCCTCGGGGACATATTGCACTGTCCCTATTGTTCAATTGTTTAAGGAAAGAGGTAGGCAGGAACGAAACTGCCACTCACGTTGGTTTTTTTTACGCTACTAGTATCTCCTTCCACTGCAAAACACGGCGTGTCAACGAGTGTGCTGTCCCGTTTCTCTAAAGCCCAGAACTTGTACATATATGAAGCGTTTGAGCGCGGTTGCTCATCATCAGGGACCCAGCAGGTAAACTAACTCCTCAACACTCATCCAAATGCTTCCCAGCGTGGAGCTACGAGGCGTCGGAGTCTATTGAGGCAGCTGTTGAGCTCAACGAAACTATTTCAAACTACTGCTCTTGAAAAATTGCAAAAAAGGGCCCAACAACTACATTTAAAATGTAAGTTGAATTAAAAGTTAAATGAATATCTATGACCATGAGTTACTCTCCGTCAGAGCCAGAAACCCCCCAAAATGGACGCACCGAATGTTACCTTTGTATTCTAAATAAAAATGAGCTTTGTTTTATCGCAGGGTTCTAGTAGTGGAACAGAAAATGTCAGTGAAACACATCAGCTGCAGCGGACTCCTAACTCTTAATACTTCATGATGTCATTAATGAGTTGCGAATGCAGAGTCATGTCGGACCTTTTAACAAGCTCTATTGCATTCAGGCTGGACTGACCTTTAACCCGCGGGGGAGCGTTTCAGGTATTTCTTTCCTTTCAACATTCTTGTAAGGGAACCTTTTAGAAACACAGCACTCGTGCGGTGCGACATGCTGCTGAGAGCGCTTGATCTCCATTGGCTCGGGTGAAAAGAAACAGAAATCGCGAAGCCATTTACGCAGCGGACGTGCCGACAGTCGGCCGGCGTGTTGACACTCGGACAAAGTGCAACCCGCACATTGTGCGTCGGGCCCCGCCGCCGAAGGGCCCCCGTCTGATGTGTCAGAGGCCGCCGGGCCTTTCTCCCACTTCGCCTCCGCGCTCGCTCCAGTGGAACATGTGCGCTGGAATTCTCCCCCAATTAAGACAGGGATTAGCCAGGTCCGCTGTGGGAACCGGGCAGAGTGTGGGAAACCAGCGGGCCCGTCCCCTCTCTCCTCCGCTCGCTGACACTCAGCCTCATTCTCACTCGCTCCCGTTCGCCGAGCCGCCTCCCTCCCCACGTCCGTCTCACCCTCACCGCGTCCCACTTCCTGTCTTCAGCAGTCTTTCTCATCGAATACCTTCCAATGTGTCTCTCGTTTGAACTTCCAGCAGTCGTTTTCCTTTTGTTTCCACTCTCACCTTTATAGTTATTTATTTTGCCTTCTTTTTGGGGCAGCCAGAACCTCCGCGGTTTTCAATCCCATTTTTTGGGGGAAGGGGGGGGGGGGGTTCTCAAGCGCATGGTACTTCTGCGCCCCCCCCCTCCTCCCTCTTAAGGCCCCTCCAGCCTCCACACTGAAAGCCTGTCTGGGGGAAAGCTGGGGACTCTCTTGCATGAATAGTCTGAGACTGTCAGGCGGGAAGAGGGGGTCAAGAGGACAGCTCGTCGGAGGAGAGGAGACAGGTGTTTCAGGAAACATGCACTTACATGCTGCACGTTGCCGTTTTTGAACACGGCCATTACATGTCAACAGATATGTCAATCTGCAGCGACCTGAAGAACAGCGATAAATCAGCCCATGTCACTAGAAGGAGCAGCATAGACCTCCATGGGAACATCCTGGTTGAAGTTCCTTTGTCACCACATTCTCTGTCTCATGATCTTGCGACGCCCCCCCCCCCCCCCCCCCCGACCCCCGACCACCCACCCCCCACCCCGGATTCCTCTCCCACTGCCTCCACATTCCTGCTGCTCATTGTCACCTTTTCTTCCTCATTCCAGCTCTGCCTCCACTTTCCTTGCGTTCCCATAAATCTTTTTCCCCGTGCACCCCCCCTGGACAAGCCTTGTCCGTTGCAATTATGCCCCCCCCCCTCCTCCCCGCCACGGCCCACCCTCATTAAGCCGGTATCAATTAGGCATTAACCTCCTGAAACAAAGGGGCCGTTGACAAGCGGCCCGTCGCAGGCCGTGTGACGTACTTCCTCCGCAGGGCGACGCGTTCACGCCGCCTCGTTCCCACTGAGCTGCTCAACTGAACAGTCACTGGTTGATCCAGGTGATGTGTTTCTTGCAACCCTTCACATTTTCCCTCACAGCTTAACGCTCCCAATTATTGTCTTTATTTAAACCTTTAGAAGGCTCACGTTGGGGTTTCCCATTTCTAACAACAAAAAAGGTCAAAACTAAAGGACAGAAAAGACACTTGGACGGGTGAAGCTTAGCTGCCCTTCGTCTGCGAGTAAAAGGTGATATGAAGCCTGTTCAGGAGCATTTCAGTGGATGAGACGGCCTCACGGAGCATTTCTGGACAACAAATCCAAGGCCACAGCTCGAGAATACAACGACAATGAATTAAATCCCAAAGATCCCCTTTGGTTGTTCCTGCTACAGGAGACAAACACACACACAGAAAAAAAAAAAAGGCCAAAACAATCATCATTGCAGTGATGACTTTTGTGGGGAAGAGGACAGCTTGGCACGTTGCCTCGGGGACCGGCTTTGGTTCAGCGGACTTCAACCTCGGCTGCTTCTACAGCGTCTCAGAATATTCATCGACTGCTCCTCCTTCTCGGAGTCTTTTCCCTCCACGTTCGCAGGAGCTTCTGCAGCCACATCGTCCCTCTCTGAACAACCTGGTTTTGGTTTTCCCACAGATCTGCCGGTGAGACGAGTGGTCCCCCCCCCGTCCCCCCGTCCCCCCCCTTGCACCCAGTGCTTTGGCACAGTGACTATGTTGGCAGGGGCCCAAGCTGAACACCCCCCACCCCTTTTCCCAGGGCCCTGGGAGTGTAATACATTACTAACAAAATCCCACTTCCCATTCCTCTCAAACTTTCACACCCGAGCTCCCTCCTTCTTCCCCCCAGAGCTGGCAGGCCCCCCGAAAAGGGGAGTGGGGTGACATGTGTGTGACTCTTTCCATCTCCTCTACTTTTCCCATCATTCCCATATGAGTATCTCAGCATCAACTGGAATTTTTTTTCTCCAACATTAAACTCAACATAAAACTTTTTTTTAAAAAGTCAAATCTTTCACCTTTTTCAGTATTTTCTTCCCCAAAATAATTCCCAATGTCAAAGTGTTGCTCTCTGCCGCAAGAAACCCAGTTACCAGCAGACACCGGGGGGGAAATGAGGAGCCTTTCACTGTTAAAGGTGATTTAAAGGGAAAAGATGAGTATTCACACCAACTCGGGGGGGGTTGCATACATGAACCCTCATTCTGGGAAAAAGAAGCCCGGCTTGTTTGCACCTCAGTTCCCAGCACGCCATTGAGGGATGTGGGTGCACGGGTCTGTCTGGGTAACATGTAATGACATTATTCTCACCAGGGGGACCCCTCATTGTCGCCGCGCTTTCTTCTCTCCGGCTCGTGAAATTGACATAAGCTTCACAAACATTCCAGGCATTTTTTTGTCATGGCCGGATTTCTTTGGGGGCCTTTCATGGAGAAAAACGCCAGCGTGAGCGCCTCCACCTAGTGATGGAGTAACGCCGCGGCACCCATGTGCTGCGAGGAGCGTCGTTCTTTTTCTTCGAATGAAACCAAATGAAATGAAACAAAAATGAAAGAATAAGTGAATAAATATAATCTGAGCAGCAATACTTTGCTCCTAAGAAGTGATCAACTGTTGTTTATTATGCATCTTTAGAAGGCCGGGCTTTCATTTAATTGATTTCTCTAAAGAAATGTTCCCATAGGAACACAAATCTGAAAGAAAATAAATGAATACCGGCACCTCTAAAGCTCAGTAATTATTACAGTATTTGTCCTTTATTTAACCAAATAGAGCAGGAAAACTTTGGCCTCTACGGAAAGTCAAACGCTTTAAAGATTCCGTCACTGCAACTCATCATATTTCCACAAAAGACAAATATTTGTTTTAAAACACATTCAAATAAATAGTTACTGTTGACACTGCTGCAACGGTCTCCATGACAACCCCTCAAGTGACATTTCACAGCTGCTTATCCATCCGTTCCGCTCCGTCCTCTGCAGCAGCAAAGCTTTGTGTTGTCATAGGACAAAAACACAACAGATACTGTTTGTCTCTATAACCGAAGAACGAACACAAAGAAGAATCCCAGTAAATCAGATACAGACCACACGCCCACGACAGCCGATCGCCTCCCTCCATAGCGGCCATCTTTCTTTTCTGCTCCCTGCTTCCGCGCCGCATGCAGCTGGACGACAGCGAGGCCTCGCTGCTTTTATTTAATGACTTTTCTTTGGAGGCTGCGTTGAGGTGTTGTGCCACACTGCTTTGTTGACGCGAGCACTTCAACTTACGCTTAAATTCCTGTAAATAACACACAAGCCTCGCATGGGACTCCGCACTCAGCTCTTTGACCGCAAGCTGCAGCTTCGAGTTCTCGTCTTCTATCGCCGTCACTTGGCTCTGAGACCAACATGAAACATCAGTTCAGAGGTTCGCCAGGCAGAGAGAATATCTGCCCTCATTGGAAGATGTTCTATGGTACTTATTTATGGGTGGCTCCGTTGTTCCCTTGAAGCTCTTTACTCTTTTCCCGCCCTGTTAACCAAACACAGGCTCAACAACAAGAGAGAAGCGACCAAAATCCACCGACGGCCACATCACAGGGGCGACGCAAAGGGACCACATCACACACACAGCGGATAAAACGCCGCGGTTTAGAACAGAAATCAAAGAAGGGAGCGCGGGGCAGATGTGCGGGGGCAGATGTGCGAGGGGCAGACGAACACTGAGCGGCGCTTCGCGAGATGCTTTTGGCCCTTTGACCTCTGGAGATGGAAACGTAATGAGGTTTCATCGTAATCACGCTCGTCCCCGAGTAAATGACCAACTGGCCTCTACACTTTCTCCTCCGGCTTCTTCTGCTGCTCCTCGTAGCTGCTCTTCATTTCTCCAGCATTTCTTCCATCTCATCTTGGTTTCCGAGCTACGTGAGAGCACAAGAACCACGAGGACGTTTACTGATGCCCATAAAACATGTGTGTTGGCCACTGCTCCACAGAACGGACCCTGCTGTTTAAACAATGTCATACAATTGGAACTTCACATCCAAGAACGTAATACCAGAGAGACAGAGAGAAGAGCAAGTATAATACTAATGTGTTATGAATGGGGGGGTTTTGCTCTTAAAAAGGAAATCATGTGGGAAATCCGATGCAGATGAATCGGCCAGGCGGTTCTTCTCCAGCGCCGCGCCTCCTGGGTCCGGTAAGACTGGATAAGTGGTCTCGTTCCCTCTTGAGCTCTGTGATTACACCGGATTTGTCCAACATCTAACAACGCAGACAGCCTCAGTGATTGAGGGTCGCACCTTGTGCTTGAAGTGAAGACTACAAAAAGAAAAGAAATTTTCTTACACTGCCTTTGGTCAGGAGCTTGAAGTCCTGAAGTTGCGTGGAGGTCGCGTGTGTCCGTCTTTATGTCCTGTGAACCGCTGCTGTAAGCGACGCACAACAGTGTGTCCACCAACAATGTGGCTCGGCAACACACGAGAAAAGCACACAGATTTATTTTATTTGAATCAAGGAGCAGCACCACTGCAACTGTAGGGACGTCAGTTCTGTGCATGAAAAAAACAGTAAACTGTGTGGGAGGTTCGCAGAGCTGCAGTAACTTATTGTTAGTAAAGATTTCACTCCACAGGCGGGATGTTGGTAAATGTCACCGACAGCGACGCCATCTTGTGGACTTGTGATGTTTAAAATAGTGGGTGTTTATCGCCTGGCTTGGGAGCGACACGCATACACGCCGGGAAAACGTATTTTGCTTTACTTCACTTTAGGAAAAAGCACAGACGTGAATGATTAAAGAGCCGTCATTGGTGTCACCAGCAGCACATGTTAGCTGCTAGTCAGAATAACAATAAGCTTCACCAATGAAACAGGAATAGTAAAGTAAAATCGTTTAACCTTTGAGTGCAATTCAATTTGAAAAAATCTTTTATTATAGGAACCTTTCGATATACAGGACAAATTGTAATGTAAACATGTGTGAAGTAGACTCACAAGTTATCAAAAATAGCTAAAAAATACAAATTTTGACACTGAGGGGTATTTCCACTACCATGAACATGCTTTGCTCCAAATGTCACTCACATCTATGACAAACTGCACATTAAGAGACACAGAAATAAGATTTCGTTCCAAGGCGATAACCTGTTTTCATCAGTTCTGATGTAGTAGCACGTATCCAGGGCGGCAGGTAGAAAAGAATTCCCGCATTGAATCAACCAAACTGTTGCTTTTGTAAAGATTCATTATGAATTTGGTTGCCTGTATCTGGATGCACTGCCTGTGCATTGGATGGAAACATTGTTCTATAAGTCTATATGAACATCACCACTGATATATCAAAGCTATTAAAGCCTCCAGCGCCGATTCCTTCACTTCGTCCTCGGTCACACTGGACATTTTAGTGTATTGCAGGTCAAATATTGTCCTTTGAGGTAGGAGACAGACGTTCCTGGTCTGAGAAAGTGCAGATTCTTGCATATTCATGTGCCCGAAAATGCGACACATAAAAAAAGAATCCAAATATACGAAAATATATTACATTGTTTAACAAAAAACAATCATCGGCGAGACTTAGGATACCGTTAAGTCCTCCTCCACTTCATCCTCCTCCTGCACACTGGGCCTTCTATCACTACAATCTAAGGACAGTCCCATTTCTTTTTGCAGGGACTGAAGGCTGGCCTGGCTGATGTAGTACCTGATGTTCTGTGATGGCAGAAGCCTCTGGAGCTCCTCCATCTTACAGTTGGCCTGGAGAAGAAAGACGGAGAAAAGCGTCGTACAATATGCTTTCACGTTTCTATGTGTTCTTCATGCGTCCTTCAAATGAATACATCACAGTCACCTCTTTGAAGTTGCCTTGCTGACAGTGGTGCTCCACCAGAAAACCAAATGCATCTCCGATCCGGACGGCGGGGTCCAACTCCGGCTCCTCCAGCAAGGATTCACACAAGCGCACGGCCTCGCCGGCATCCTCCGTGTACAACCTGCGCACAGACGCTCGCAGTCAACACAACCAGCGGAGCCTCCCGCCGGCAACGGAAAAGGACGAGAAGATAAGAGGGTCCCGTTCTCACCGGCGAGCGTGGACAAACTTCTTGACGAGTGTTACTCGACGCTTCAGGTCAGCGAGTCTTATTTCCTGTGGTCCAGTTGAGGAGTCCTTTGCTTTGGAGAGGCACTTGAAAGCCTCGGTCAGAGCATCTAAGGCCTTTTCGTAGTTCTGGTACTCGTCAATCTCCACCTTTACAATGGTGAACGATGGTTATTTGAAAGAAATTCCTCAAAGTTGCGACTATAAGCCAACACATATCAGCAGAAGGAATTTTCCATGTTAAAACCTAATCATTAATTTCCTTGTGTTGACATTTATCTTAAAGGACGGATCTAAATTTAACGTATTTCTCAAATTTCAAATTCATAACCCGACCATCAAGTACCAATATTAAACATCATGAAATGGCAGCATTTGTTGTGTGTACTGTTGCTGTACCTGTGCACAGGCTTCATAGAAGCCAGCCAGCAGGTCCGGTGCCTTTCCTTTAGTGTAGAATCCAATGATTGTCTTCAAGATCTCTGGATTTTTGCGCCAGTCCAGAGACTGGAGGTAGTTGGCGGCCATGATGAAGAGCTCCTTCTGACGACTGACGCTGGCGAAGAAGATGATTTTCTCTGTGTCGCCAGACTTGAGGAGCGCCCTCATGGCCTGGTGGAAAATAAGAATACGTATATTAAGGTGTAACATCACATATTGTCTTGCCCGTGCATGTGTGTGTGTGTTTCTGTTGGCAGACGGCATCATGAACAGAGATCTTCTCACACAGATGCCTGTAAGATATTCTAAGCATGCAGACGATGTATATATATATATATATATATACATAGCATGTACTACACACCCCAGTATTACCTTCAGCTTGTTGCCCGCCTGTGTGTATTTCTTGGTGGCCAGGTGGTAGTTGCCCTGACGGATGCAGCAGTCCGCTATCCTCTCCAGCAGCTCCTTTCGGGCATCTTGCGACAGGTCTTTTGAATCCGTTACGATCATTCTCTCTGCCAGCTCCTCTGTGATGGTCAAGCTCTGGGTCACACACAACTCCAGGGCCTCGTGGTACTTTGTTCACGTACATACACAAAAGAAAAGAGTGACACACGTAAGTACCGATATTTCAACGCATGTTGTGATTAATTGCCACCAACTATCACCTTCTTGGCTGCTATCAGTAGCTCCACTGCCTTATCGTACTGGGAATGTGTGATGAAGAAGTCGGAGCAGCGTGCCAGCAGTGCTGGGTCAGACTGCTCATTCAGGTCCTCAGCAATCAATTGAAGTGCAGAGAACTGCTGGGTGGCAAAGGCCATCTCCAGAGCTTTGGAGACGTAGCCAGCCTGCAGAGGAGCAAGCAGCAAAACAATCAATGTACTGCTGTGACGACTAAAGACCCGTTCTTTTTAAGGTTTACATACAGCACCCTACTGCCCTCTTGTGGAGGGGTTTAGAATGCATCAACCTGAACACAAGCCAAGTCGCTCGGAAGAAAACACCCCGAGGGACCTTGTGATAGAGTGCCACAGCTCGGTCCATGTGGGTGCCTTTCTCCTCGTAGTAGCAGGCGGCCTCCATCATGTCCTCCGCGTTGCTGAGCAGCGCCAGGTTCATCAGCTGGTCGTCCAGACCCGTCTCCTGTTGGCGCACCACACACACCCAGAAGAGAAGACTAAAGGGCAGCGACGACCATGGAAGGACAAGCGGAGAAATTCAGAATGTATGGCTGTATGTATTTGGGGGATTCACAGTGATTTGTCAATAAGAGCGGGCTCGGCGGGGAGCTTTACCTTACAGAGTCGTATGGCGTTGTTGTAGGCCTGGGCTCGTGTGTAGAAGTGCACGGCCTGTTTGATGTCATCGTGGCCCTCGTAGTGTCGTGCCAGGTGGTAGGACGCCGCCCTGTCGCCGGTGTCATTGGCTATCTCAGACGCCTGGTGTCGCAATTCAACCAAATCCGTATTATTACAAACAAGGCTCATAAAATGTGATAATTGTTACCAGCAATACAAAGCGAGTCACCTTCTGAATGTTGCCCATGTAGCAGTGGACTCGAACTAGAGAGAGGTAATCCTGGGCCCGTTCATAGAACGACATCGCTGAGTCCATGTCGGACTGGCTCTCCAGGTACTGGGCCCACCACTTGTAGATGTTCCTGGACCGACAAGATGAACGGACGGATGTTAAAATGTAACTTGGTGTCTGCGCGGTGCAGGAAAATGCTGTTTTTAAGCTGTGGACTTACTTGTCTTTCATTTTGTTAACGTAGATTTCTAGAGACGACGGGTCGTCCTGGAGCATTCTGGGCACTTCGACTCTGTGTGTGTCCGATTTCTCATAACTGCAACAACAAAACAGATGCGTGACGACTCAAATTAAAATCCACAGCATCCTCGACCACCGGCCGACATCAGACTGTGTGTCTCACTATGCGATGGCCAGGGTCTTGTCGTCCATGGACTCCAGGTATTTGGCATAATTGTAATAGGTGGTGCGCAGATGGATGCGATCGTGGTTCTCCGCTGTTTCCAGAGCTCGCTGCCATTGGCCAGAAGCCTGGTAGAAAGTGTTCAGCAGGTCGTAGCGTTGACAGCACTTGTACAACTTGTCTGCATCTTCCTATTGGAGGACAGGATGGAAAGATAAATGCTGATGGTCCTTTCTTTAGGCATAGAAGTAGAAAAGTGATTCTTTGGAAGGATTTTATATTTATCGGGAGTGAGGGGACGGCCTTTCCATTCTGATAATAAAGATACAGGACTACAATACAATTACAATACATTACTAAATAAACAAATCATGTCTTCATCTGACAATTTCAAAATGCTTTATGGCCAAACAATGAACAATGAATGACACAGCCAACCAATCGATGATCAGCGAGGCGCCTCGCTTGGCGTCTCGCTGGCGTCCCTCGCGCTCTACTTGTTTGTCTCACCAGCATGCCGAGCTGAATGGCCAACATGGCCACTCGGGCTTCTGGCTCCGGCTCAGTCTCCGCCTCCTTCAGTGCTTTCGCTGCCCCGGCGTTTCCCATATTCCCCAGGCACACGCGTGCCACATCCAGCTGCCGGGTTTTCACACACATCCGTGCCATGTTTTCCCACACCGCTTTACTGCAGAGGAAAGGAGAAATGCCTCGTTTGCAACGGCCATGTGTTCTCACTGCATTGGTATTTTATTATTTCAGTGTGAAGGCAGCGCAGTTATTCACAGCACATGTATCGGGCTCGCGAGAAATGCCCACGAGGGATCTCCTGCACACAAGTGGAGGCAGCGAGAGGTTTGCTTTGCTACCTCTGTTTTTCTGCTTCTCTGTCTTTTTTTCTTTGTCCTGCTGACGTAAATCAGCCCCCCCCCCCCCCCCCCAACCCCCCTTTTGCTTTTGCAAATTTAAGATTCCACAGCCATCTGGTCGCTATTTGCGTCCGCCTCCCTCCTCCTCGCTTTAGCTGATACAGATGTGGGCTGTTTATTAAAGTTAGGCAACAGGAAATACCCCAAACCTTTAGGGGCCTCGGCATGAGCGGGAGAAAATGGAGGGAATGGAGAGCAGTGACCGTCTCTATATGGTCACAGAGCAAAAACCCACCCTGACAAGGAAAATGTGAGACGCTTGGACTGCGAGAGTTAGCGGCGCACAGGGCGGCGAGATCTAGAGAGACAGAAAAGGAAAGAGCAGAGAAGGAACGGGTCCACATTTGGCCCCTCTTGCCATCCTCTTTTCCTCTCAGGAAACACATCCTGTTGCTGGCCGACTGCGCCGGCCAATATGTTTATTGCACAGGAGAGAGGACTTTGGCGAACGCCCCCTGGGCCCCAGACAAAAGAATACACAACAGTGACGTCTGCGAGGGGGTCTTTGGGACATTCTCTCACACACAAACACACACACACACACACACACACACATTTAAAGTGATCATGAAGCAGGGAGCTGTCCGTCTGAAGCTTTCCACAGTTGGGAACTGATGTCTTGGATTATGACGAAAAAGCAACCCCCCCCAATATTTCAACTCTGACCTGAGGAATTTGCAGAGCATCAGTGTTTTGGGGGCGGGTGGGATAGACAGACAGGAGCAGAAGGGGGTGGTTTAAAGAACTTCTGCTTCAAGCCAGGCGGAGTGGGAGTTTCAAATTGAGAGGCCGTCTTGGTTGAGCCCCACTGACGAGTCGGCTCGCAGCAACGCCGCTGTGTTTTTTTGCATTTGCACTCCTCCGAAGGCAATGTGAAGTGCTGAAGGAAAAAAAGAGAAAGAGAACTACTGCCTTCACAGAGAATCCAGCTGCAGACACACACAGAAGTCAGAGCAGTGCAAGCAAGCAACGCACTGAAGTAGGAAGACTACGCGAAAACGCAAAAAAAGGGAAATAAAGCGTCTGAATCAGAATCAGTCCAGGAGCGAGATCAAAGAGTCAACCTGCAGCCAGCCGGAGCAAGTGGAATGGACCAAGGTACCAGTTGGATCGATCCCAGCGTACCCGCAGCGCTGTCTGAGGAGGAGGGCTGAGGATCGGCTGCAACAACAACCACCAGGTCCTGAATGAGGATGAATGGAGATGTTCTTTAGCTAAGCCTCAGGACAACACTCTCGCCGATTCCCCCTCAGTGTGAGCTGGGACGACACTCGCTAACAGCTGGAGGAGGCGGCGGTGGTGGTGGTGGTGGTGGCGGAGGAGGTGGAGAGGAGCCAGGGGGCCCAGAGCGCCACTGGTGCCGCTTCCCCGGACGAGAGGCCAGGGAGCGGGCAGGACGCTGCCGAGCATCGGGGGTCGTCGGGGGAGCGCGAGGGGGAGGTGGCGGGCGCCCGGCGCCGCATGGCCGTGCAGAGGCTCGTGGCGGCGGCGGTGGCAGTGGCCCTGCTGTCACTGGTCCTTAATAATGTGGCGGCCTTCACCCCCAGCTGGGTCCTGCAGGCCCTGGACGACGGACGCAAGAGGAGCGTGGGACTATGGAGGATGTGTCCCACGGGCGGGGACAGGGGCCGGGACGACGACCAGGCTGGGAAAAGAGGCCAGGGGCCACAGAGGCAGTGTGAAGGCCTGGGATGGGGCTCCGATTACGCCGGCTACCAAGAGTCCCGCAGCACGGTCAAACGTAAGTTTTTACGCTAGTTTGGAATTTAAGTGCAATAAACAAGCTATATATATTTTTTTTTAAAAGAACGATATTAGTCATCTCTTTCTAATCCGATTGTTATCGGGTTGGTACATTCTGGATGTAACAGGTCTGGTAGGTCGAAGTAGTCGCAGAGGAATTTGACTGCGAGTCAGTGGAGAAACAGATGCACTTTTCAGGAGCTTCTGATTGGCCACAGATGTTAAAAAACCTCAAAGCAAATCACTCAACCGATTGGATGAACAATTATGTTGGACTAGAAGAATCTCGAAGCTCGATGCTGTAAGTCAAGGCCGGGGGATGTATTTTAGATTCCAGGCACAGTCAATGTTGTGCGGCTTCACTAAATTAAGCTCCATTGAGAAATTTCCATTCATGGATAAGTTGGAAAACACGGAAGGTCCAGTGCCAACTTTACTGGGCACAATGGGCAGTTAGACCGAGACGTGCCTCCCCATTCATGAAAAAAAAAAAAACGCGTACTGTATTGCCCCATAAAAGATCAAGACCTCTGACTCTATCAATGCAATCTGATCACAGGAGCAGGAAAATGACAAAGCTCTTCTTCTGGTCCCTCAAGTGCAGTTTGACATGATGCGGGCGTGCAACCTGATGGCCACGGTGGCCTTGACCGCCGGTCAGCTGATCTTCCTCCTGGGCCTGATGGAGCTGCCCTTCATCACGCAGGAGTCACAGTGGTGGGAGGAGGCCATTGCTGCACTCTTCCAGCTAGCCAGTGAGTATCAGCGCTTCTGTCCTACTGTCTGACAAACAACTCGCACGAAACATCTCAAAGAGGGAAAACATTCAAACAAGGAGAAGGGCAGCGCACCTTTTGCTTTAAGTATACTCAGAAAAAAAAAAACGGTATAAAATATGTTTACTTCATGTCCAAATCATGAAGAGGGTATAATGTCACAGCGGCGTTTCTGATCGAGGTGCACGAAGTTCAAATAAACCAAATAAAACACCTGAGCACCCAGAGAAAATAGGTAGGGGAAAGCTGGGGGTCCTCAGGGTCACTTAGGGAAATAACTTTAATGCTGTCATGGCAACAAAGCCCCTTCACCGCACCCAGCACCCGTCCTGGCTGCTGAGGCCCGCACCCCCCCCCCCCACGGTGAGCAATGGCGTGGTGCTCACTCAGCTGGTCGGCATCGCCATGGCGGAGCAGCTTGAAGGGGGTCTGGGTCTAATTTTAGCCCCAGTCCCAGAGCCCGCGGGCCAGAGCTGCAGTGGGCCGGCGAGCGACTGTCGGGCGCCAGGATATCCCTGCTCAGGACGAGGAAATGTCTGTGACTACCTGTTATGCAAACCCCAGAGCCGACGAAGGAAAACGAGGGTAGGGGGAATGGACGGGAAAGACAGTTTCAACGGGGGCTGCGTGTTTGCGTGTGCGCTGGCAGGAGGGATTGTGTGTGTTGTGTGATTGTGTGTTTTGCTGGAGAAAAGTCCCGCGGTGCACACAACACAGGGGTGGGAATCGCCTCTGTCTAGATAAGCCGTGCTGGCTTTAATGTCTGTGTATACAAAGCGGCAAACGAAGACTGTCCTCTTTGTCCCCGGTGGGGGACGAGGACTCTTATCTGAAGACCTTGGCGAGAGGAGCGAGACCCTCCCAGCGTTTACAGTATTTTCCGATATTAGAGGAGATCACTTGCCAAACGTCAGGAACCAGTGATCTCACCACAGCCTGATTAACAGAGACAATGGCCGAATAAACATCAATCACCATCACCTACATGCGTGCTAAACATTTTTAGCCCTTCTGATAATATGAAGACTGATCCCCACAAATGTCGGTGTCAGAAACAATAGGGACAAAGTCGATGAAGCAATACGCAGCACACGCGTATTTCACTGACGGCTAAAAATAGTGATGGAATCTTCCCATTTGATTGTCTTTTACCATATAAGGCCAACAAAGTTGCTGAGTCAGAAGATGACTAAAGGGATGCGTCAGTATAATACAACATCACACTAAAGCATTAAAAAAGAAGTGCCGCGTCATTGTCTTTATATATTTTTATACATTTAACCTTTATATCATTTGGGAGTTTTTATTGACTACAAGTAGGAATATGATTTTACTCATTTTTCAAAGGGCAAGTCTGACCTACTGTGGCTATTTTGAATATAGATCTGAAACAATTAGTGACTTATTCAATTAAGTCAATTGACAAAATAATCATTTGCGATTTGGAATGTTCTTACGTCTCAAGTCAAAGTATCGGCTCGGAGGTTAAACGACAGATTTGGACAAATACATTTTTACCCTGGTAATAACGCTTATAAACTGTTAGACACCCTCAATGCCTGTCGAAAAATTTCCTGACGCTTAATCCCACAGATTCCAAAACACTCTCGCTTATGTACCAAATCTCATGGGAATCTGTTCAGTAGATTCAGTGGACGCGTTTCCTTCTAGACCAAAACAGACACCACTGTCTAGAAAATAACTGTCAGCTTTATCAATAATTAGTTAGTCATCTTAATAAGAAAAAGCGGTCAGTGACTAATGCGCCCTTCCTACCGTAGAACCCCCCCACGGAGGGAGCGGACGGGCCTCCGCTCTGAACGAATGGAGATATTGTTAACCGTCGCCGTCTTTCTCTGGAATGTTTTTATTTTAAGAAGGGCCAAAATTCTCATTTATTGCGAGACCGGCTGTGGAATAACAAGATGCAGTTCCATTCAGTGGACACAGCAGAAGGCCCGTGTTGTTCATTTCCCTCCGGAATGCGTTTTCTGAATGGACACGGGCTCCGTGTCAAGAGTCACGGCAGCGGGTCGCGAGCGGGCGGCACATTAGCGTTTCTTTGGATTTCTGAGGAATTGCAACCGCGGGGCTTACGTCACATCTTGTTAAATCGGTCTGAGGAAGGAGTCTAACCTTTCCCAGAAACCTCAGGCTCGAGGAATTTGCGATCACAGAGGAGTGGCAACGGTCCGGGCAGGACCTCCAGGCACGCTGAGATCTTTAATCCAGCGTGTGTGTGTTTAAGGACAAACCAAGCCAACCAGCTAAATGAATCTTCAAGACCCGGCCTCGAGATAAGACTTCCTCTAACAGATCGTGTCAAATGTCCAGCGAATGCATCAACCTCGGGGCTTAGGGCGTGGAGAGGAGGGAAGGAAGGAAGGATGGAAAGAGGAAGAAGGGGAAGGAAGTCTGGGAGATAAGTCTCTGCCAGAAAAAGAGGTTCACACAGCGCACGCCGGCTGCAACCTGGACGGGAGACTATTCATTTAATGGATGTGGAGCCCAAGCGGTTGAAGGCGAACAGATTAAGCAGACACTTGCGCTCCTGTGCGTGCACGCAGTGATCCACACCCTCGTTAAAACGAGGACAGGCGTCTCACTGTAGACGTAGAGAAAGGAATACAAACGGTCTCCTCCCTCGGTGCCGCTGATTCCTTCAGGAAGCGGACTGATTCATATCCTACAGCGTGTACATCCATATTTCCAGTGATTCTTTTTTGGGTTTGTATTTATACTGCTGTGGACGGGGCAGGATATCAGACATGTATTATTGTTGGAGTAGTGAATCCAGACGATACTTGACTGAAGGACACTTGAAATGCGTTGGTGGTTGTGGGCTTTCATACTTCGGAAGAATGAGAAAAGGTCCGCGGAGACGGTGAATAACTTTCCACAGATATCGCTGATAAAACGAAGTTGGGATGAAAGGAACAGCATGGAATGGTGGGCTGTGGCTTTTTACCCTCGCATGCAAACAGGAGTTTTCCATTGCGGGACTCACTGTGAATCAAAGAAATCAGCAGATAAAAACATCTCAAAGGCTTTTCCGCACATATATTCACGCTCTGATATTTTTAAACCCTTGAGAACTTTGATCCTGAGATCTCAGAAGTTCTTCCCAGGGAGGAAGCAGATTTCCAAATTCAAAGGCCCCACACAGAGCTCCCGCTGAACTGTGGAACAAGGCTACAGGGGTGGAAGTCTACATGAGGGATTTCAAAACGACACTTTGAGTTCACGACACACACACACACACACACAAAAAAAAAGTCAAAGAAAAGAAAATATTGTTCAGAACATTTTGTGTTCCGAGTGTCTGAGGAACCTTTTGGTTTTGTGTCGCGTTGAATCTCACTGACCGAAGCCTTTTCTCTTGTTTCCCCCCCGTGCAGGTTTCGTGCTGGTGATCGGACTGGTGACCTTCTACCGGATCGGGCCCTACACGCACCTGTCCTACTCCTGCTACTTGGACATCGCGGCCTGCCTGCTGGCCACGTTGGCCGCGGCGATGCTCATCTGGAACATTCTACATCGCCGCGATGACTGTCTCGCGCCTCGAGTCATCATCATCAGCCGCTCGCTGGCGTCCCCTTTCCACCCGCGCCTAGACAACGACTACGTGGAGTCGCCTTGTTGAGCCACGTGACTCCGAGCAGATGACTGTGGCTCTGCAACAGCTGGACTAACAGTTGTAAAACGTTGTATTTCACAACTTCTCCCCACATAGTCCCGTCGGAACTATAACGCTTCACAAGTCAAATTGATGTATAAATCAACCCCAAGCTACCAAACGTATTGTAAAAACGTATCGGGATTCACTTATTCATGCTCGGGTGAGCTCATTTATGGCTAATTATGAAATTTAGACACGAAACGATCAAGCTGGAACTTGAACAGTTTTCTTATATGTGCACTTATTAAATGGCCTTCTGCATAATCAGAAATTATGAGAGATGTTGAAAATGTAATACCAGAATACCTCATATGTGTTTGCATCCCTTTAAAGCTTGTTACACGTTGAGTACATATTATTATTAGTGATATATGGTGCAAGTAAATGAGTAAACCAACAAGGTAAAAGCAGAAGAGCATGTGGAACCTTGTGAGTGGGCAGATCCCAAATCAGTGCCAATATTTAATGTCTAAAAAAAAGGTTAATGAGAGATGATATATCAAATAAATAAGAACCTACTGAAATGAGGAAATATTCTCACTGTCTCTGAATGCGTCTTTATCACATTCACACATTTTCTCCTAAAGACGTAAAAACACAAATGAATTGCAAATGAATGTGTGGGAGCGATTTTGCATGTTTTTAAAGTGGTATTTGTTAAACTAATGCTAACAAAGTGTACTGTATTTTAAAATGACGTGCAGATTTCAAAAAGCACTTTTGATGCTTTCCTTCCATAATTCTGCTCGCTTATGGTACATACTATATTCTAAAATGAATATAAGGATAATGCTATAACTAGTAATAGTATTATTGTTACCATTTCATACTTGTTCAAAGAACTTCAGGCTATCAGTGGGTCACACATGGGGGCAAATTTAAATAATAATATATCGTATAAATTCAATAAATCTCTTGGTAACTACTCAAACAGAAAGGTGGTTGTTATTGTTGTTTTGGTGTCCAACACCACACCGGACAAATGACATACTTGAACAAATAATTACATGTTTGACATTAAAAAGAATCCGACCACCTGTGATATTCTTAACTTAAGGTTGACTTACTTACTTACTTTGTGGCGCTTTTGACCAAACGTCCTTTTTCAGAGTTCAGAAAGTGTTATCAGCTTAAGTAAGAACAGTAGAAGTCCACATGCATCCTCATATTGTATATAGCACACACTATATATGTATAATATATATGTATATAATTATATTGATATAAAAATATGTATATATATATATATATATAGACACACTGTGTACACTGGTTTTTCCCGTTATTGAGCACTAGCTGTTATTAGTCCACTGGTAGAAACATTTTAAATTCCAGTACCATCATTGAAAAACTGATCCAAACCTGCCGGGTCCTATAACAAATAAACTGAGAGCACGAGGGTCACATGTGCCTCAGCCAACTGGGACGACTACAACCTGAGCGTGGACACTTCCTCGGGTGTTTTAGTTCCTGATGCAAAGGGCGGAGTTTTGCTTTGAAACAGCGATTGCCGAGGCCAAAAGACAGTCGCTTGCCTTCATGTGGCAGATAACCCTGCAGCATGTCACCAAAAGTCAGGGACGACGTGAATGAGAGGAAGTAGCACAGTCTGGACCGACTCGAGACATTCCAACCTATCTGACATGGGAGACGGGGGCACTTTCATGCTGAGATTATGTGTTTTGGATGAGGTGAATTATTACTTTAACATTTCTTCTACTTGATTGGTTAGATGAAACAGGATCGAAACCAATGTCAAACCAACGTCAATATAAAGAGCTGCAGCAGAACAGTCCCAGAAGAGAAGGTACAGGTTTACGCAGCAGGAAACGCATATTCCTGTGGCTGGAGATATGCGGGAATCAAACACAATGCTGACCTTTTTTTATAAAGACACGGCAGTAAAAATAGGCACCAATGAGGAACTCGGTAAATCTGTCATCACGCCTATTAAACTCTCTGGAATATCCGGCCAGTGTCATATGCTATTTTCTCATTTTCTTTTAATGCCATTTACCCATTTGTTTTCTGTGTGCACTTCCAAATCAACACCACAGCAGAATCCAGGCCCTGTGCCCCGAATCACGTATTCTGCTGAAGATAACATCAAATCTGGTCTGAAATCACATACGTTTCCCCAACACACACAGGAACAGACACGCACATCCTTTTAGTGACCTGATTCGATGTTTGCAAGAATGGGAAGGGCACTCCTTCTGCACCGAGCTGGCGAGGGAGACCAAATGTGTGTGTGTGTGTGTGTGTGTGTGTGTGTGTGTTTAGAAAAGTACATCCCCTCTGAACACACCCGTACAGCGACAGAAACAGTCGCAGAGCATGTACACATTCTGCCCTAGGAAAGACTGAAAAAGTCCTTAATCATGTCCTGTGTTTAAACTATTGTTGTTGTATAAAGGTTATTCTCATTTAACTGTAGCATCAAGATGTGATACACTGCCGTTTAGTTTGCGTTTTATGTATGTTTAGGTTTTCTTATATACTTATATACTGTGGAATTATACAGTATTTAAAACGTTGTGCACGTTTTCTTTTCAAACTTTTCAAACCTCAAATTCAGTGTAGTATTTCCTTTATGGGCAGGGCCTGCTTTGTTTGTATATCTTTGGGATGACAAAATATATGTATATATATATATGTATATATATATGTGTATATATATATATATATATATATATATATATATATATATGTATATATATATATATATATATATATATACACTAAATAAGCAGTGTTAAACCTTGATCCTCTGTCACCCTTAAAGAGAGTACATTCAAATTAAGGTTATAAAACTATTGTATGTAGTTTTCCTCCGTGTTGACCTGAAGGGTCGGAGGTGTTGAATGAACATGGGGGCCTTGGAAAAGCAAGAGGCAACAATGCCACGTTCTCAATGGAAGTCAGAAGCAGTACGTTCCGGCTCCCCTGCTGCTGAGCATTCAGAGAAGAGTCGAGGTTCAAGCAACAATGCTGTTCATGTGGCCTCTGCTCAGCCTTTGAACAGAAGAGGGCTGCTGGCAGAAGAGGTGATATTCTTACCAGCCTTATTAAGAGGCCTTACCTCTTGATGAGCTTGATAGACTTGAAGGCTTCGTCCATGTCGCCGATTGTCAGGTAAAAGCTGAAGTTGAGCATGGCGTCGCGAGTTGCCTTGTCACAGTCCTCCAGGCCCACAAAGTCTCTAAGAGGCCGCCTGGACACCATGTGGGAGGACTGGGCGGCCGAACCCACCGGCGGCTGGGTCTGCTCTGACGGCGCTGATGGCGCGGCTGAACTCTCTGCTGGGTCTCGCTCACCGGGCTGAGGACGCACCGGGTGGGAAAAACGTGGTGTTAAGATTTGGTAAGCGGGCGATTCAGGTAAATAAACGGAGCAAGTTGTGAAGACCTCGCTTCAAGTTGTTTTGGTGATAATCATCATACGGATGATTATCAGTAAAACAACCGATGGAGGGGTCAGGAGGGAGAGCGAACCAAACAACAACAAATCTATTGATCGACACACGGTGGATGGAAACTGGACAAAGCAAAGTGACATCTGCATCGCACTTGTGCGGCTGATCTTGGATACACATACTACAGTGATTGGGAATCCAAAATACATGAGCTCAGTGACTAGACTGTAAGGGACAGACACTTACTTCTGGTCGAAAGACACCCCCCCTCCGAAATAACAGCTTGGGGCGTGTAAGACCAAACACACATGTGTGAGAATATTGATGGTGCAAACAAGGACTACGTTGAAGACAAGCCAGTGTAAAGCCAGGTTTCCAGCCGCTGCAGGAGAACCCCCGTCCACTGAGCAGCACAAAGAGCTCTCGTTCCTCACCTTGCAGCTGAAATAATAGTAGGGCACATCCAGGGCGAGGAGTGCTTGCAGGCCCGAAGGTTTAGGGTAGCAGTCCTGCAGGAGGAGGCCATGGTCCTGAGTGCAGAAGAGCGTCACCACCGACACGTCCGTCTGAGCAGGAGGGAGGCGAGAGACAGTCAAACAACCTCAAATGTACTTTGCATACTTTCCCATTTAATCATCTACAAATGCGCAAACATACAGCTTTGCTTCTACTTATTTTTAGCACTACTGGACCTGATGACCTATCTCGAGGTTTACCGTATGGAGGAAACTTGACGGCGAGGATTCTGAGCCGATCGGCACAGTCTCACAGACAAAGAGACGAGGTTCACTCTCATCCCAGACGTGAGACACGGGGCAGCGGCCGCTGAGCTCTGTGGCCTGAATCTGCTTCCTGGAACACAGAGCAGTCAGGTGCAGTTTCAGAGGACCAGGAGGAGGAGACGCAACACGGAAGGAGTCCAAATTCAGTCCAAGGCCACAATCGCTACCTTTCACTGTCCTCGGGCTGAAAGATACCGCTGGACGGTCGGCCAGCGAAGAAGTCAAAGTGCGTCACAGTGTCCATCTCAACGTCATAAAAGTACACTTTGTGATCCGGTCGCCCATTAACCTAAAAACGAAGAGTCATAAACAGAAACATTCACATGAAATGGTCCCGTTTTAAGACCGTGAATGAGTGAATATAAGTATCGTCTCTCAAGAACACATATAGAAGGAAACTTGTTTGTTGTTTGTTGGCCATTCACCTGGGAGATTAGGATGCTGACTTGGCTGCCGTTGGCGTTACATTTGACGGACTTCAGGGCCCCCAAATTAGAAATCCGTTCAGCCAAGTTCTTTGCACTGCAGTGAGCTTTGGCATCTCTATAAAGACACAAAGTAAGATTGGCATTGTTGGACAAGAAACGTAGTGTTATCCTAGAAGTATGAACAATACATGGAAGTCAACTTGTTTTCTTTTCCCTGGTTCTCTTATCAAAGGATACGAGAACTGAAGGGATACCAACATCCTCATTAACGTCACGCACCTTCGGGAGAGGTCAAACACTCTGATGTGCGCTGCGTCTGTGCCCACCACCAGGTAAGACTGACACACACTGAGTAGAACCGGATTGCCCTCTGCCTTGGAAAAGGTCAGCAGCTGCTTCACGGTGCCCTGAAGAAGAGCGGAAGCAAGACTCATTTATAAGTGTGCGTTTAGAAAACGGAGGACCCTCTCTGTGCTTGGTGAACACTGGACAGTAAGTTGACGGGTGGCCGACCTGTGGCGTGCGAATCTGAACCCGGTTGGGTTCCACCGTGTAGAGGTTCTCGTCGTGTGCAGCTACGACAGAAGAGTCACAAGGAAACGATCCTGGGCAATCAGCGAGGGAGGAGGGGGCAAAAAGAGAAAGGCACAAGTTCACAAAGGAAGGAGCAGAGCAGATCCTAAAAAGTCACATATGTAGAATGTTGTTTGTTCTGCTCAGTTGCTTCCAGGCGTGTACCTGTATTGCGAAGAATAGCGCCCGAGAGCTCGTACACGGTGACCTGCTTGCCACTCCAGACCGTCACTGCGTCCTGTTGCCATGACAACGCACATCCAGTTACGTTACAGTTAAGTATTTCTAGCCGTTATAGAGGCCATCATTGTCTTCTTTTAAAGGTCCAAAGTGTAGCGGAGAGTTTAAACTATGGTGGCCAATGCAAAAACACACAAGGAGCCAGTGTTTAGTTTATTTATTCAAAGCTATGGTATAAATACGACGGGGCAACGTAGCAGACTCCATGAAGATTATTATGTATGCAGATATATATGGCTACAACACGGTATGTAACCAATACTCAACTATGGCTTATTTGCAAGTGATTATACACAAAAGATAACATACATGTATCATATAATTACATTACATTTAGGCCAATTTATCCCCATAACCCCTTCACTCTGCAGTACAGAGACTTACCTTAGTGACACACACTCCCTTGACATGCATGTCAGCCTGCAGGGCCAGGTGCTCTCCTGAGGTGAACATAGTGATGCTCAGCTGGGTGGGGGTGAGCTGCAGGGCCGCCACCTGCTGGCTGAAATGGGCTGACATCACATGCTCGCACAGAATCCGCACCGTGTTGGAATTGTTGGCCGCCAGCAGATTCAAGCTCGAGCCCCACTGAAATGGAGGGTCTGAGTCAACTTCAATCTATACATACACATAATAACTTAAATAATAATAACATTCGGTTACAAAATGCTCCTCCGTACAGTACCTGCAGCTGAATGACATTTCCGTCTACCTCCGTGGGTGTCTGCAGCTGCCACTGGGCCTTGGCATCACTTCTGCTGGCGCTCGGCTGCACCACCATCTTCCACATCGCTATGCGGCCGTGGCTGGTGCCAGCTGCCAAGATCTCTGGGGTGGCCAAAAACACAATTCTATGCGTTCAATGAGTCATGTAACGTGTATTGACGTAATCTAGGGGATGTATGTGTGTTATGAATCAATTTGTTTGAGCATATGATGAAATTAAACATCTAGGAACTACGGATGCACGGATGGATGTGATGAAATTATTTGGCTTTGTACTTCCAAAGCCAAGCCACTACCTTTTGCTGCACAATAAGCAACGCAGTTGATCATCTCTCCTTTCTCAAACCCCAGATTCTCGTTGAGGGACAAAACATAGTTGTCGTCTCCGTCCAGGTCCCACAGCCTGATAAATGACAGATAATAAAGTTCACAATTGGAATGTAAAGTATGTGTGCACAAACAGTATGTGTGCACTGACCTGACGACCTGTTCCCCCGTTGCTGTGATAAGGAGGCCGGTGTCCGTCCAGAAAAGGTCCACGTTCTTCCCAGTCTTGCTGCTCAACTTCACCTACCATGAAAAGCATAGCTTACTAAAGAAACTGACCTTAAGAAAGAAGAAAATCTAATTGTTAGAGATGTTTGAATACCTTCATGAATTCCTGAGCTCCTCCCTCAGGTCCAAGAGTGTACTGTGACAACATCAGGGTGTCTGTGATCACGGCGAGCACCTCGCGTTTGTCAAGGTAGAGCAGTTTCTTGATTGCTCCCTCCACACTGAGAAGGGTGCTTGTCTTACAATGCTCATCCACACTGTGGACTTTACCTACATACAAGGTGCACAGGGTTAGAGATTGCAAGTGTATTGTAAGTAACACAAAGCACTCAAAGCATGACATTATCAACATTTTGATATGTATTTAAAAACAACTTAAATTAAAGTGCAGTAGTTTTAATAATAATATGTTTTTAACTGAAATGCAACGAATGGCTCAGCTGGAGAACAGTTCTACAGGTGCCGATCACTAATGGAGATTGTAAAAGTCTTGAGCTACACAAAATATATACAAACATTAAAAATACTTACTCTGGTATAATAATATACAAAAACAGCAATATACTTAATATGCTGCACACAACAAAAATAGACTCTCACCATCTGTGCAGCTGACGTAGAATGCGAGTCCATCTTGTGGGCCCATCTTCAGAGGTGCTCCCTTCCAACTGAACATGTCCAGAGCACTCTCATCCCCACTAACTGATGCACGAGCCAGCATCGCCACGTCGCTGTAACATGAGTTGGGTTTGACTATCAGCATGCAGCATTTAGATCAAGAAGGCCATTTTTAATCATCTCTATCTGGAGAGAAGAATAACTAGCTCTCCGCATTGCATCCTGTTTGCTTACTCTCCAGGCGAGGCCGGTCTGAAGATGCAGCAAGTAAGAGGTTTGGAGTACTCGTGCTTCACAAGATGGTTTCCTTGAAGTCTCCCTCTCGCATCTACCTTCCAGACTGCTAGCGCTCCGGCCTGTAATAAAATAATGTAAATCTGAAGTTTAAGTTTAGTTTTTCATGTCATGTTGGCTAATCAGACCCTGATCCAGTTTCAGAAAAATGTATGTTTATAATTTCTTAAAAACAGTCCCAGGATACCATGAAAGCATCAGTATGTTGATATGACATGTAAAGGAGTACCTGTGCGTAGTCACTGCAATGCACCCACCTGATCGCCAGTTACTAAGCGGCTGCCAGAGCTGCTCCACTCCAGCAGTGTGATGCAGGCAGAATGTGTGCTGGGAAGGACCGTCTGATCTCCGGAGGGGTGTGTCAGCAGCACTACCGCTCCATCCTCCCAGCCCAGCGCCAACACTGGCTTTACGGGATGCCAGCGCAGCGCTGTGGGCAGGTGAGGACGTTCTAAATGGCAGCTATCCACTGACTCTCCCTGCATACAAACAGCAATAAAGTACACAAACTTTGTCTGGTATGATGTCATTTAGAATATCCACAGACGCTGGATGTTGGTGTCTTTCTCTCCGTGTCAATGATCATAGGGGAATCCTCGTGTTTACCTGCTGCAGGTAGAGGTCTACATTGCCTCCAGTGGTGGAGCTGCTTGAGGCCACAGCCAGTACAGGAAGAGCTGAGTGCCAGGTCACCTGAGAGGGCACGTTAGTGCTGTCAGGGGCCTCGATACGGTGGTCAAAATACACCGCCATGTCCCCACTGCTCCTCTCTGAATAGGAACGAAAAAAATGGAGATTGATGCCGGGTGGAACTTTCAATACTGTTAGTCAGGTTGTATTGGATCAGAGTTCACTGTTCTTTTTTTGTTTTTGTACAACCTAATATTGGTATAATATGGGTATTTTGTGATTTTTTTTAAAAGCACGGTCACTTATCACTAGTTAAGTCTTGAATGTACCCTTAAATAGCATCTATTGGTTCCGAATTTAGAGTTTCACTGTACACATGTAACGTTGACGGTAACGTCAGTTGATTTAGTAGTCAGGGTTATATCACCGTGAGTACAGGTAAACGTCCCACACGGTATCTTCACTACGAATACGCCTAAACAGAGAGTACTAGCAGCTGCCATTCACGTTAGTACCACCAGGCAACGAATGATTTAGTTAGCTTTAATGTTAGCTGCTAGCATTAGCTAAGCTATCCAAAGTTAGCATCCATTGCTAGCTCCCGCTACTGTAGAAGTTAAGCGCTCTGTTACATCCTGTGTGGACAAACCTCGCGTTCGCTTTCTTCGGGTTAATGTCAGAGTGATTCCTCAATCCGTAAATAACCTAAAACATACACCTTTAGCTACTTCTAACGTTAGTGTTGTTTAGCCTCCAGGGTGAGTAAGAAGCGTCTCCTCCAGTTGCCCCTGACAACCCGGAAGGCGGGGCAGGAGGAGGAGCCACGGAAAACAACGAAAACACCCGAGTGGTGGAAGGTCGCGTGGAAATTACTTGTTTTATCGCAACAAACTCTCATCTGATGACCTTCAGTTTATTGCACGATGATTCAAATGAATTAAACAAACTGAAACTCACATAGTTGCTCTAGTTTTTGTTCACTCGTTCCTTATTCATGTTTTGTATGAACCGTAATCAAGGTACAATCAAATATAATATCATCTTTAGTGCTAATGTCCTTACCTAGTGGATGTAAAGCAGGGGTCGCAGAAAAATACACACATACAAAACTTCCAAACTTTGTATTCACTACAAAAAGGTGGGATAATCAATTCCAGATCTTACTTCTAAATATGCCAGTGTCAAGGTCATTACAAATAAAACAATTTCAAAACATTTAATTGTTTGTGAGACTAGAGATGTATGTCACAGAAGGAAGTAGTACTGGTATTTTTATTATTTGTGAATCCATGTATGCACGTGAATATTCACAGGACATCCTTTGCAAACAAACAACCACACACAGAGACGCTCATACGTGGCAGAACAGGAAAGAGTTTGAAAAGGATATCCTCAGAAACGTTATCAGTGTACAAACTGGTATTCTATTCTCCATCCCATCAACGTTTTATCCGGTACATACATTACACACAACACTGTATTTGGAAATATTTGTGTGTGCACGATTAAGACACGTTCACAAACACGCGCAGAGACGTGCGCCCTGTTGTCCTGCGTGTTGCGTGTTCCAGCATATTAAAAAAACGTGTGGGCAAATTTCCGGAACATCAGTTCCGTCGACCTGCATCCTCCTGGCTCCTCAAGGACCGGACGGAGGCGAGCAGCGGACGGAGGCGAGGACCGGACGGAGGGGAGGAGCGCACCGACACACATCGGAGACGCACTCATCGGTTCAGCGGTCGCGTCTGATGCCGCGATCAGGACTCGGAGGTCAGGGCCTGTTGATCTCGTAGCTGTTTCTTCAGGCTCTTGTCCAACAGCACCAAACTCTGTATGGCCAGACTGCGGCAATCTGCGTCGGGGTCTTCTTCAGCCACATCTGTGGACATTAGCAACACAAGTAATGACTAGTCGCCACCTGTCAGTATAATCATAGCAGGAGATCCAATCAAATACACATGTCTCAGGCATTTTCTCTATACAATAAAGAATTCTGTGTGTGTTTTGTGTTTACATTGTGTTTGTCAATTAGCTTAATTCCTGCTCATCGCAATGTACATTGCAACCACATTTAAGCCCTCCGAGGGTAATTTGTGATTTTGGGCAAAACAAAACGAATTGATGTATCCTCAGAGCGATAAAGAAACATCCAAGTGTTGCTGAGCCAGTCACGTCCTTTGCGGTCCATAGTACAGGACATCCTTGTTACTCATCCACTTCCCAGAACTGCTCAGTCCAGCTGTGCATGTGTGTGCTGTGCGTATGTGTGTGTCACTAAGGGGAACATCCCTGACACAATTACATTATGCAGGTGCAGCCTGGGACCTTTGTGGATTTACAAGAATAGAGTATTTTAGTGTTAATCTATTATTAGTATCAAATAAACAAGGTATTGCTTAAATGTTTAAGATAATGTGTAAAACGATGGCCCTGCAATGCTAGAACTTGAACCAACGCTTAGTCTGACCTTCACCTCTCGAGGAGAGATTGGAACGAGGTGTATTTGACAGTTTCAAGAAGACAAACCTCTGTTATCACTAGCGATGTTTTTTTTTACCTGCCAGCCAGGTTCTGGTCTCAAACAGCTGATCACTGAGGTCCACCAGCAGGTTCTCGCTGGGCATGCTCAGAAACACCGAGCAAACAGCGAAGAGGACGCCTCGTCTCACCATCCTGCCACAGGTTCAGGTTACGTAAGATAACAAAAGCTCATAGTCTCTCCAAAAGTGATGCGCTGCACACTTACTGGTCGGCGTGGTAACGCACCGCCCACACAAAGTCCAGTAAAGCACAACCCATCTGTGCAGCGATCTAAACAAAAAAAAATCATCGGAATGTCATATTGTATGATATAAAATAGCGTATTCATTTTCTCTTTTATAGTGAGATAAAATATATATAATGAGAGTGAAATGATATTGATGAAAAAGCTCGACATTGGGATCCTGTCTCAGATGGACGGATAGAATTACCGGTGCGTTGACTGCTAGATGCATGAGGAGGCCCAAAGAGTGGATCAACCTGCCCAGTACGAGATGGTCCCCGCCCAACAGGTCAAAGGTCACCTGAGGCCTAGAAGAGAGCAGAAACTTAATCACATTCCAGTTCGAAAAACCTGAAACTCTAGTGTTTAACCTTTTAAATATGTATAAAAGAGCCTCACTTACTTGTCATAGTTGCTGAGCAGAGGAAAAAAGAAGTGTCCAGCCACAGGGGCGTAGCGGTTAGGGGTGGCCGTAGCTGGAGGTTGTGTGGCACCCTATGCACATAAACAAAGGAAACAACGCTAGCGATACGGAGTAAACCTCAAATACTCAAGCGGCAGATGAAAATATCCGGGTACTACCTTCCTGAGGCGTTTTGTCTTGCTGTCAATCCGCTTCTGTACTACTTCTCGCCAATGGACAGGGTTGTCACCAGGGTACGGGGTCGATTCAGGGGCGCCGCTAACACCCATGGGTGGGTTTCTCGTTTCAGCGATGGGCTTAGAGAGCTCCTGCGCTGCCAGGGTGAGGACCTGAGAAACACAAAACCAGAGCCGCCTCGTGATTACAATCAAAGAGTTTGAATCAATCGCTGCGGCGCTAAGTGGAGAAGACGATGTCCTCACCTCCAAGATATCGAGGCGCTGGCGAAGACTGTAGTTCAAGGAGTAAAACTCCGTGGTCAGATACTGAGTCACCTACAACGGGAAGCAAAGGGACAGTTCACTTGGGTACCAAACGCCCCAAAATGGCTTTGAAGACACATTTTGATGGAAAAGCATGTAGATCTTACAGAGATGGAGTCCGTGACTGTGAGCGCCACCATGGTGGCCTGTCTGAGACTCAGGAAGCCACTTATACTGTATTTATCCTCCATGTGAAGAAGCACTTTGGTCAGCTGGACACTGACCTGAAACACAGAAAGAAATAACGAGTGAAGGATTTCTAGAAAGCTGAAGCACTGGACATTTCTGTTGTGCGTCTAGGGGTCATTAATCTGTCACACCTCTCTGGCTGCGAAGATGTTCCTCCTCACCAAACCCTCAGCGACTCTCAGACTGAGCTCCACGCGCGACGGGTCCTCAGAGGAAACCAAGGCTGCGCGGGTCATTCGATTAAAAGAAACATTAGAGCTGGAGGCGGCAGCGCAGACTTTAAACAGAAAGTGATCGTCGACTATAAGCAGCCGTACTTTCCAAGCAGTCGCGCAGGTAGCGCGGTGGAGAGGCTGTACTCGTTTCCTGGTCGCCAGACATATCGTACGGCGTGAGCTCATCGTCGCTGCAAAGGTGAGAGGCTTTCAGTTAACAAAACATTTCCGACTGATACGTTTAGAATGGCAGAGGAGATTTTATAGTGCTTACCTGTCCAGGTCGGAGCCCGGGTCAGTTTTTGACTTATTTGGAGATGATGCATCCTGAGTAGATGGGGCTGTTGCACTGGTCTCCCGAGGAGTGTCAACTCTGCAGATGAGAAACCTTATTTCAAATTAAAGTTTTATGTGACTTTGTCTACAGTCACCAAACGAGTAAAGACACTTACTCGTTCACCTGCTCCGCCTCTGGTTCATCAGTCGTGGGACTCATCAGACAAAGCAGCTCCAGAGTTTCCTCGTCCTGCTCGTACTTCAACAACAACAACACACAGACTCAAAGACGTGGGACAATTCGGCTGACTAGCATTGTATCCCTCGATTGACACGCCGACCGTACCTCAAACTTCAGCTTGGTCTTATTGAGGTCCATACGAGCGCTCAGGCACTCCCCCACCACCATGCCCATACGCCTGACGCGCACCACGCCGCTGTCCAGGTGGCTCTGCATGCCGCCCAGCAGGCACTGAAGTAGCTCTGAGAGAGGAGCGCTACTAGCTCCATTATCCCTTCATTCAACATGATCATATGTAACAGTGTGGGACACAAAGGATGTGGTTCTTGAGGCCTCAGACACTGTCGCTTGTACCTGAGCGTAGCTCCTGCAGCTCAGAGTCTTTCAGCAGACTGACGCTCAGCAGCAGGGCCTTGCTGACGTAGAGCTGCTGGTCTAGAGGCGTGTGCTTCACCGCACTGGGGTTAGCCCAAGCCTGCAGCACAGACCGTAACACCTGACAACACACGCGTCAAAATCATCAATACATATAGCGTGATGTCACTTGGCTGCTGAACATCCGGATGCACCCACCTGGATGAGCAGAGGCCTTCGCTCCCTGTCTGCTGCCAGGTAGCCCAGAACGATTCTCAAGACTCCAGTCTATGAAAAAGAAACCGCATGCAGCTTTATAGCTTTTTAAGATGACATGGTTTACTTTCAGGCCGCGGGGTGTCTCCTCACCTCATACTTGTACTGAAGTAACAGCAGTTTATGAGTGATGACAAACTGGGCCTTTTTATTGGTCAACACCAGATTTCCGATGATCCTGCCCAAAGCATCGGGCCTGAAAAAGAGGCGAGAGTCACGTAGAGGCAGATACATAACTGAGAGCTGGGGGGCTGCACACTGCTCCAGCTTTACCCGCTGACGGCCTGCACCAGCCCCGTGAGCACACTCTCCATCCATCGCTGTGGAACGTTCTGCAGCAGCTTCCAGCAAACGCGCTGCCACACCATGTCGGAGCGCGTGAACACAGAGAGCCGCGGAGCCAGAACCGCCAGCACCAAACCTGCACATAGGAAATAGTATAATAATAATAATAATAATAATAATAATAAAATGGCAGGAGAGGGGATCAAAGTCGTTTTAACTTCTGCATCATCATCATGATTAAGAGCGTTTAGGGAAATTTAAACCGTCTGACATTTTTACTCGATAAACCAAAATGGTTGACTGTGGTTTTCTAACCAATGAGTTGTTAAATTGTTCATTAAAAAGTTGTCAATTAAAAAAAGGTACGCTAGGATACACATTTACAATTGGGCCTGCAACTGTGAAAACCAAAGCGTCCACCGGACTCACCACTATGGCCTTGGATACACACTTTTCCAAGTGTCTGAGCCACAAACGTCAAGGAGCAGTCCGTGCCATCTGGTGAAGACACGAATCAAACAAGGAGCCTGGGTGAGAAATCACCATTTTGAAACACAGGCCCCCCCACTGTGAACAGTCTGAAAGAGGTCTCCTCGCCTCGGAGTGATTGACAGGTCCGCTCCAGGGCCGCGAGCATCTCTGTGGCCAGCAGCGGGTAGTACTGCTGAGGAAGAAAGAGCGCCTTGTTTCTCAGATGCAGCCGGTTGGCGGTGACGTCCGGCAGCGCCGCGATGCGTCCCAGCAGGGTCTCTCGGAGCTGGGGGGAGTCGGAGGGACCCGTCTCCAGACAGCGGGACCACAGCAGGTCGGCCAGGCGACCGCTCCGCAGGAACTTCTCAGTGATGGCGACAAAGCGGTCCAGGTTGGCGCCCGCCCTGGAGGTGGGAGACAACAGCGGTCGATTAGCGTGCAGACAACACGTTTGCGCGTTTCGTCCACCACCCGCTATCCAGCACCACCCACCTCTGCTCTCCCATCGCCTCCATCAGCACCAGCAGCGCCTGCTCCGGGGGGCCTTTGAGGAACAAGCCGTCCCATAACTCGGCCTGCTGGGCGGGCGTGAGGCCGGCCGGCCAGTCGGCCCGGATCCCGCCGCCGCCGAGGAGCCGAAGGGCGGGCGTGTAGTGAGCGCGCCTGAACTCCGCCCGCTGGACCGGGTCGGTTCTGCTCTCCGGGCCTTCGTCCAGGTAGCAGTGGAGCGTCTGAAGGGTGGCGACGAGGTCTTTGGCGTCCGTGGACGTGGCGAGGGTTCGGAAACACCGGGACACCTCGAGGCGGACCTCAGGGTTCGGGGCGAGAGACTCCATCTTTCCAAACAAAGGTGTTAAATGGGAGATTTAACGGTGAAAGGAGTCTACACAGAAACTAACACAGCAACTATAATAAAGTTTGTATACATTAATGAGTTTAATAAATGCTGAAGGATTAAACTATAAAATGTAATCATACCACATCGAAACCGTTTTGAAAAACCTTAAGAACTAGTTCGTTGTTTTAGGTGAAACCTCTCTAACAATCCTTAGTTAGCAGAGACGTGCCTTCAATAAGCTAACTTGATTATGTGTATATAACGGATTAGAAAGATAACACACATATTTACGGTTACTGGAGAGCAGCAAGTCAACAACTGCTAGCCGGACAAACGGATACGCACCTGGGTGTTTTTATTAAACGAAGCCTTACGCGCAGGGTCGTATTAATGAGTATTTGCAGGTATTAACCGCTTTTAACTTCACGTTCTAACATAACAGATGTCTCGCCGCGGTGCTGCACGCCGCTCTCTGTGCGCTCCGTCAAAATACGTCCGTGTTGAGGCGGACGGAGACGGAAGGTTCCGGGGACAGAAAGAGGCGGCGTTCAAGAGGACGATGGTTTTTGTAACACTTCCGGTCGCTGTTTCACGTTATTCAACAATGAACAAATTGACGTTATTATAACTGTATTATTACCGGTATCTGAGCATACATACGTGATCTTCTTTTCTTTCCTTAGATATAACAAAATGACAGACGAATCGTGAGAAGATGCTTTAACATCTGAAATAAGTGGTTCAGTTTCTCATTACAGTCAAGTAAAACTAATCATAAAGCTACACCAACTTAATAAATATTGTTAATTTAGAGACAGTATGTCTAAGTAGTGAGAAAAGTTTTTAAAGCAGCTTTCTGAAAATCCGGGATATTATTGAAATTACAAACACTTAATCTCCTTTCATATCTTATGAAATGTGAGTCAGTGATTTTAATTGGTCCATTCCAATTGACTTTTCACATGATTGCATAACTGTTGAGTATAAATAATACAAATTGGCTCGCATAGTTTTATGATATAAACTTCTAAGCAGCCGGTCGAGTTTCAACCCGTCCTCTAGCAGTTGAAGGAGTTAATATCGTGTTGGTATTGGAACTAAAAGTGCAAAGTGTGGTTAAGGGGCCCATCCAGTCCATTCAAACACTGTGCAGGTGGGCTGACGGGGGCAGTGAAACCCAGCAGCAGGCGCGTGGTGACATGTGGAGCAGCTCATAAATAACAAATGACGGCTATTTAGGAGAATGAATTGAACTTTGCCAAATAATTAAATTTGGAACAGACTTTAATAAATATCTAAATTCAAATGGTATCACTTAAAAGTACTAACCAGTGGCTTTATCTAATACTTTTATTTATAGTGACTTCTGAACTAGTAACATGTGAGGACATCTGATAACATACAACAATATGTTGAATAAGAATAGCAAACATCACATCTACATTCCGCTGCAGTCAACAAATGAGGCAACCCAACACAGGATTGTTTTATTCCATTTATTTTTCTAATCTTACTTTCACGGCCTTACCTTTAAAGTGTTCTCTTTTTACAATAACTGAAATGATATTTCCCCAGTAACAATTAGGATTAGATCAATTGGGGATCTTCAAAAAATATACAGCTGTAACCAATACCGTTATAATTTATACATTTATCTTTGAAAATAGGAATACAAATTTTACAATTTCTTTTCTACAATATTCTCTTTTTTTAAATCTTCCCATGTCACATGACGGCAAGCCGTGCACTACTCCCGTCGTGCCGTTTGTGCCTTGAGCAAACTTTCTTTGGGACACTGGAAGTCAGCGTGTGAGAGAGAGAGAGAGAAAGTTCACAGAAATGACATTTCATATGTACAGTTTAGTTTAGTTTTTATAATCATAATTCAATAAACTGAGCGTCGCGCGGTCAGTGCTTTCCTCAGGGCTCATTGTCAGGTTAGTTTGAGACACAGTGTTTAGACTAGCGGGACATTTTCCTTTCAGGGCTCGGAGTCTGTCGGTGACTATCGAGAGGTCACGGACCCTGCTGGATACGTTGTCTTTGGTCGTTTTCATTGCGAGGGGTTAAAATGGTTAAAGTGCAGTCACCTTGAGCTCTGCTAACATGGAATGTTTAGTCAGTCTCCATGTCGACAAACTAAAATCTGCCAAACGCACTCAAATATGAAGCAGGGAGCGAATTAAGAGAAGCAGAGCCATTTTCTGTCTGCAATGCCTAAAGCACACGTTACTGTAGAGAAGGAAGGAGTCACACCTTCCGTCCCACTGAAAGGCCGGGAGCTCAGCACAGCGTTGCTATGAGGTCAAACTATGGATATGATTCGTCAGTCAGAACAGTGATCAAGCGACTGAAGCGATATGTAGTGAAAATCGGTGTTTTCATGCAGGGCCTGACTCCATCTGGGAAGACGACAGTGGAAACTGCGAATCACAACCCCTGAGGAGGCCACAGCAACGTCAGCATTACGCAAGAGAGCCGCGATCCCGACCAACGGCCACATTCCCGCTCTTCACCAAGCGCTCCTCCGATAACGCTCCCCCCCCCCCCGTGGATTCAAAACATTTACAAAGATATATTCTGTGCGAGTTGTCGTTTGTGGCAAATGATGAATAAATATCCGCGTGTGATTTCAAACGAGAAGAAAAAAAGAAAAATTCTGTACACGCTACATGCTAGAGACGAATACAGGCGGCCGTCTCTCAGCATAAGACAAGAAATGTTCTCTCCTTCAGACTATAAAAATACCTAGAATCTAGAATGAGTGTAGAAAAACTTTACATGTACAAGTCATTTACATCCAAGGCCTTTTTTTTTTTTTTTTTACATTGAGTGGCAGGTGTAGAAGAGCAGACGTGAATGGGGTGAAAAACAGGACATTCTTCTTAGCATATTGGTGCAGGAGGCCATGCTACCCTTCATCTAGTATCCGTGGAGACGCCTGGTAGCCGTCTCATGCCCGGCGTCCGAGTCCAAGGTCCAAAAGTCAAAATCAGTCCGTACATCTCCGAGGAAACAGCTGTTGCTTCAGCAGAAGAAGTGAAGAGGAGATTTGTTTCATCTGCCCTCCTCCCAATGTCCACTTTAATGCCGAGCAATTATTGCCACTGTTCTGCCACATTTCTTCAGTATTTTAACTATATATATATATTTATATATATATATATGGTCCGACAAAAAAATAAACCTGGCCAACAGCCGACAAAAGAAAGCTCATCTGAACTGCCGATGGCTGATAATATAACACGTAACTCATATTAAGACATGGCTGCTAAATGTAGTTTGTAGTATTCTTGTATATTTTCAGATTCAACATGACGTGTGACGCGCTGTCCCTGTAGTGCGAGTGGGATGTCGCCCACACCAGTCTCCACTCCACTGGTATGTCAGTGGAAACCGATCCCAGTCACTATCGGACAGCCTTCATTTTGATTGGATCTCTTCACAATTAACATTTGCTTCCAACCAACTGAACATTAATGAAATCAAAACGTAGTGCAAAGTACAACCATTTGATTATTCACATACAACTTATTCTTCAAAAGAACGGTTACCTGGATAAGTTTGCTCCCCATTACTTTCACTCAGCAAGAGAACGATGGAGTCAGATGGGCTGCACTAAAATAAATACATCACTACAACTCCCAGAATCCTTCATGCTTAATCCAAGCATAGGTACGAGTTATCCACTGGTCTACACACAGGGAGTGATGGGAAATGTATTTTTTCTCCACTTGAGGTTTCCAGCCCACCTGAGCTCCAGGACCCTGTTTCATTGTAAAGCAAAAAAACAAACCAAGAGATGAAACAAATGATAAACCGCCCAGTTCCTTCATATTACTCGCTAGTGTCCCCGAGCTTTAAAAAACCTTTTAAGCTATACTGCGAAAAACAAAACACACACACACACACACACACACAAAACCCTCCGGGCGCTTCTCATCCTCGACCCCTGGCGTCGTCCCTCACTGAGGTTCCCAGTTGAAATGGGTTAAACTACAGACTGGTGGAGGGACTCGGCGCCGTCCAGAGGAAACTGTCCTGCCCAGCGCTTCGTGCGCCTTTTAATCAAAACACGAGTCAGCCTGGTTCAGGAGGTCACCGCCGCCGTCCCAGGTGACCCTTCAGAGGCCGAGCTGAGGCCTGTACGGCCGATCCACACTCGGACCACCTCTCATTTAAGGCCTTTCGGTGCTTTCGAATGGTCTGATTGTGTTTCCTTTTAGCTCAATCAAACATTGACACTTTTTGGGTGGGGGGTCGTAGAGGAAGATTTTTTTTTTTTTTTACTGTTTAGGATACTGACCTCTTGCACACATTCACACACTCAATGCGGGAGCCTCGGGTCCCTCGAGCCAAATACATGGAGGTCACCAGAACCCAAGCGCGTCCAGGAGGGTCATCACATCCACTCAGAAATAAGCACAGACCACAGAAGGGATACCTAACGACGGCCATGGACTTCTTCAACGTGTTTCACCCTCCCTTTTTGGAGGGGGTGGGGGGAGGGGGGGGCTGGATGCGTCGTTGTCGTCGTCGATTCTTCACATCCTCTCCTGAAGGTTTTCTTTTAGACATATAAATGTCTCGGATGTTTCCTCGCAGCCCGACGGGTCGCTGTGCGCGGCCGTCTGGCTGCTCGCCGTCTACTTGACCTCCAGGATGGAGGGGTTGCACTCCATGATGGCCACGATGATCTTGTCTATGTAGTCCTGCAGCCTGTAGTTGATCTCCTCCTGTTTGTGGACAGTCTCCATCAACTAGAAACGGAGCAGACGGTGGAGTCAGGCGCGGCAACGGCGTTTCACAAATTCAACCCGTATCGTCTGGGAAAAAAAAACCAACCTCTACGCGAGACACGTTGTTGATCTCCGCCGCGAGGGAGTCGGAGAAGGAGGCTGACATCAGGTTCTTGGCTCCCTGGATGCTCAGGTTGATGATCTGGCCGTTCAACTCGTCGTTCTGCTCTTTCAGGCTGCGGTTGTCCTGGAGAGAGATGGGGTGGAATGGAACGCATCGTAAGCACTTAAAACCCACTCGTCCATTTCCAGGGAGGCGGGAGAACGCGGCGGCACGCGGCCCGCTACCTGCTTGAGTCGTTTGATCTCTTGCTCCAGCTCGGCTTCGCGGGTCCGCGTCTGGTACTCCTGCAGCCCGGCGCCGGGCGTGCGGCCTCGCTTTGCCTCGGCCTCCAGCTTGTAGAGCTGCAGGTGCTCCAGCTGTTTACGCAGGTCTTCAATGAGCTGCGGAGGAAAGAATCAAGGGACTTCGGTTGGTCACGTTATTAAGGAATCTCACAAGACTTTTTTAACACATGAAACTATATTTTGTACACAGAGACCTCAGTCTCACCTCCTGAGTGCACTCCTTCTCTTTGCCGCTGTGGTGGCGCTCGTGGCTCAGCTTGTCCGCCATCTTCCTGCGGGACTCCGTCTCCTCCTCCAACTTGTCCGCCATGGCGTCCGTCTCGTCCTGCAGCTTCCTCTTCTCCTAGGCGACGAGAAGACACGGCGAAAGGTCGGATGAAGAGTGTTAAGGCTGGTGACAGATGGAACGAAAGACGAATGGACGGGATGCTGTTGTTGCCCTCACCTCCTCTAGTCGCTCGATGTTTGCTCGGAGACAAGGAACACACGACCGCAGCTCGCTGTTCTCCTCGTCGAGCTGCTGCAGCCTGAGAAACGAGCACGAATCCACGTCAGAAACCCACACTGCTGCTTGTGGAGAGTAAACGACGCTACGCAACGAAGCAGCTTAGTGCCAGAGGGGGGCAGTGTTGAGCCACAACCAACACGTGAGTTCTTGAAAAACCCAACAAACAGGACACATTCTCAAACCCTCCAGATCCAGTTATTATGATCACAACAAACATCTAAATAACTCGATTAAACGGCAACATTACACGGGAAAACCATCTGTTGAACAACAGCCGAGGAGATATCCTCTCCTGTTGTGCTCACCTGGCCTGCAGGTTTTCCAGCTCCAGCCCCCTCTCCCTCTCCAGCTTGACCAAGGCCTCCTTGTGACGCCGGGCCTCCTGCTGCAGCTGCTCGTCGGCGTGGAGCTCCTGCTCCTTCAGCTGCTCCTCCAGGGCGTTGGCCCGGTGCACCAGGTGGAGGTTGTCCTGGCGCAGCCGCGCGTGATGCTCCCCGGAGGACTCGGACTCCTTTTCCAACTCCGCCACTCGCCGCTCGAGGAGGAGCACCTGGGGGAGAAGCGCGCGTAACGAGTCCGTTCCAACGGGGGGGAAACGGAAATCGATTCAACCGTCTGCCTCCTCGTCAATGAGCGCTCACCTTGTCTGTGATGTCGTTGTCAGCGAGCTCCAGGATGTCCCGCGTCAAGTCGCTCATGGTGTCCAGAGTCATCGAGCTGTTCTGTAGGAGATGTCTGCATGGGAGGGGGGGGGGGACACGGCTCACGTCTGATTTTCTAATATCGATTTAACAATTAGAAGATAGATAAATTTACTGACCCCAGAGAAGGTGTTTGGCTTACCTCGCTACTTTCTTGCTGGACACCCTCTTGCCACCACTAAATGGGGGGATGTTGAGGAGGAGGAGAGTGGGGGGGGGGGGGGCAAAAAACAACAGGAAAAATGGTCAGGAAGAGAAAAGGGATAAAGGAAAGACACCACCCGCGTCCCTCTCTCTGCTGGCGGAGGAGGAGCCCCACAGAAAGAAGGGACGCGTTCAGGTGCTTCTACTGACAAACGGCAAACCAAAGCAACCGGAGATCCACACATCACAACAATGTGACACAAACACGCAGCGAGGATCAACAGACTGTGATTTAGGATACGATATGACCTGCCTGTCACAGTATTACAGAAACCTAAAACAGAAGTTCTATAGATTCCTGAAGTGAGTTCTAAAGCTGAGAATTATGCCTCATCGCAGATTCAGATGCTAAACCGATCAAACGGGATTTTTCTGTAGTTTCTGTAATAGAGCTACTGGTCAGTAATCCTGGATCAGCAGGTCCGTTTGCATAAAAGCTCCACCAGAAAACAACACGCATGAAGCATGAGGGCAATGACATGGAGAGCGGAAGATACCGGACACCACTCACCTGTGATACCTGCGGTTATTACGTCACATTTCTACAATCAGCTCCGTTTAGACGAGAGAAACGTTCATGATGGATGAGCGACCAATCACAGTCGGTGCAGATGGTGACGACGGGGAGGAGAAGGCCACCGCCGAGTTTCTCAACTCACGCACACAAAAAGATGGGCCCGGGTACAGCGGGCTTAAGACACGCCCACAAAACAAACCGCGATGACTGCGTGACAGGGCCGTCGGCACCACGCGCCATGCCGGTACAACACGGTATGCACACGCCATGAGAGCATGCACGGTACTGTGACCCATCAGCACCGCAAACATTCACACGGCTCACAGGCGGCGTGGATGGAGGAGGGGGGGCGGTGAATGGCGCGTTACCTAGTCATCTCTAGGAAATTGAGGCGTGTGGAGAGGTCCTCCAGACGGCTTATTTGTTTGTGACACTGGCTACAGAAAAAGTCCAGCGCCTCCTCCCTGAGGAAGCTCTGAAAGCGGTCAGGGAGAGGAGCAGGAGCACTGGGGAGAGGAAACAGGGGGGAAGAGGAGGAGCAAGTGGTGAGTGACGGACAAGAAGGGGTGAGGGACAGGGACACCTGTGTGTGGGGGGGGTTAGTGAAGTCCATCTGAGTGTTGATGGGGTGGGAGGCGGTGTAAGAAGACATAACATTCTCATTCTGTCTCCAGAGGTGACGTGATCGTCGTTCCTTGCTGCCAGGCGCCGTCGCAGCGTCTTCGCTGCGTGGTCGGGTAGTTTCGCCTCACGTCCCGCTGAGCGAGGATTATGCAACACTCACTCACACGGTTTGAGTCGTGGCTCGGCGGACCTTGAGTGCGTGTCCGTGGACGTTGCAGCACCCGGCAGTGTGTGCGTGTAGTCGGAGAGCCGTGACATGCAGAGGGATGCGTGTGGGTGCGTGTGTGTAGGCGGCACTGCTACATGCGTCAACAATGAGCGCGATTGGCTCAAAACGCCGTGACGCATTCGGTCCGAGTGGGTGAAGTTTGTGGGATGCAGCAATATTTTATTTGGGTATAATTTGAGTTCGTTTTGGCCTCACTGCCACCAGCATGGAATCTTACACAAACTGCATGTTTGGTATTTGTGCTTCATTTGAGGATTTATTCATACTTCATTTTCCTATTTTGTAGGACCTTTTTTACTCTGATGTATGATGGTTGCACCTCTCTTATTTCAATGGGTGGTTTGTCAAGAGCTTCCTGGCAAAGCTCTCCGGCTTTTTGCCTCTTATGAGAAGAGTGGAGGAGAGATTAAAAAGATGACTGTAAAAAATCTACAAAATAAATGGGTAGAGCCAGAGAGGGGAGTGTGTAGAGTGTGTGGAGTGTGTGGAGTGAGTAGAGTGAGTAGAGTGAGTAGAGTGTGTAGAGTGAGTAGAGTGAGTAGAGTGTGTAGAGTGTGTAGAGTGTGTAGAGTGTGTAGAGTGTGTAGTGAGTAGAGTGAGTAGAGTGTGTGGAGTGTGTGGAGTGAGTAGAGTGA